ATTGTTAAATCAATCAAAGACAATCAATTGGACAATCGTTGTATGGTTATATTAAGTTAAGAGAGTGTCGGTCTTTCCTTTTGTTTAAAAACACTGTAAATGATACGAACAAGCGCTCATCATATGTAAGATTTCTTATCGGAATGTGTACTAGTAACCGGGTATAAAACGTCTTAATTGTGTTTTGTGATAATAAGTCTTTCTTCTTGAAAGCTTCCAAAAAGGTAATAATGAACGGAAGTAGCAGTTGCTTGTTATTGTATAACATGGTATACATTGAAGCATATATGCTTGCAAGATAAGATACAAAATTGTCTTTATCTCCTGAACAAAATTTTTGAAATTCGATCAAGCTGTAATATTTTTGTCCAACTTTTCAAGCTTACTTTGAATTTCTATTTCACTGAAAATCAAAGGTCAAAATTGTTAACTTCACTGATGTAGAAGAAAGTTTCATCGCAATGAAAACTATATATACTTGGACTATTTTTGTTCGGAAGCATTCGCAAGGAGTGAGACAGCGTTGGAGCACCACACTTAATATTATTTTCCGGTATATTCCGGAGCTTCCAGCGGGTTTATACTTGACTCGTTGGTTATTTTTATGTCCCAAACATATACATGAACACTTCTTCTTGTTTGATTGCCTTTACAAAATACAGAGTACGTTCGATGAAAACCAAGTTATTTTTTCCACACTTCTTGTATTTCCTGAATTACAGTAACCTATTAATACCAGCAGGGACAGAGTGAAATTTAGCGCACTTACCATGAAGTCGCTTTCATCCGCTATCGGGGGAAAACCGAAGAAAAATTAATAGTATCTAAATAAATTATACGCTCCTCTAAGAAAAGTGTTCCAGTAATTTCCTTAAATAAAAACTTTTCACAAATACTCAAATTAATTTCCACCAAACAATTTCTTTCACATTATAATATATACTTCAGCCAATAATTAACATAAAATGCAATAAGGGTAGCTTCATGTAAAATGTTGACACATTTCAGATTAGATTCCATTGAATTTTTTTTAATAGTTTCAGCCAATTTTTGTACACGACGTCAAAGTTGACCAACAAAGACCGTTCTCAGCGTATCCTTGACAACTATTACGGGTACTTCCTAGCCAACGGCAGATACATTATCTTTCAAATGCTGCTGTATTCAACGGCAATCGTTTTATTTTTCTTTATGTTGAAATTTGTGTTAAAATTCCGCCATAAATGACATTATGACCACTGCAGATATACCGAAGTGTACGGAATTCTACATAAATTATTATAAATAGATCTGAAATTTAAAATACGGAGGTGTACAGGGCCGTTTATCATGCAATACGTACATGACAAATATCGTTATTCGTACATTCGAAATATAAGGCAACTTTGTACTTTACTTAAAAACGGATCTTTTTATTAAAAGTCCGCAAATTCGTAGCATACAAAATTTCGTTATCTTGCAAATACGGATTCTGTATACAAAAATAAAGAACCAAGATGTAATCCTGAATTACCATTTTCTTTTAAAGGAAAGAAATAGTGTGATCTGACATTTGTCAGAAAACATAAAAAAGTAAAGCTTTAAATAAATGTAATATTTTCCGGTTTTAACATATCAATTGCATACTGATTATATAGTCAGTGAACAGAACATATAAACATCAAAAGAGCCTCGACAGTGTAGCATGTACAGACAAAAGAACCTACTCAAATTTCCCAATTTTCGCCGAATGTAACTGCCCTGCACTGAAACAAACCAACTAAACCTGATGTCAATATTTAAAGAACATGTGTCAAATGTGTATCTTTAAAGATTTTTGTTTATTCATTATCTACAATTTGAAAATTTTTCTTTTTAAGAATGAGGCATGCAAATGTGAAAAAAGAACAAATCTGACAAAAAAGTTAAAAAGATGACAACTTACGGAAATTCATTTGCAGTGTAATATAACGAAACGTAACGTCAACATGTACGTCAGTGACAATGTACATTGAACCTTGGAAAACATGACAGTTTTAAAAAGATTGGTTGCAATAAGTTTATTCTAAAAAAAAGTTCAATAAAACAGAAATTCTTGTTTTTAAAATTTTGAATTTCGATCTTCGAGCTGGCTCGAAATTCAACTCCAGCTCGAAATTCAACTTTTGAAAATTTTGAATTTCGATCTTCGAGCTGGCGCGAAATTCAACTCCAGCTCGAAATTCAACTTTTGAAAATTTTGAATTTCGATCTTCGAGCTGGCTCGAAATTCAACTCCAGCTCGAAATTCAACTTTTGAAAATTTTGAATTTCGATCTTCGAGCTGGCTCGAAATTCAACTCTAGCTCGAAATTCAACTTTTGAAAATTTTGAATTTCGATCTTCGAGCTGGCTCGAAATTCAACTCCAGCTCGAAATTCAACTTTTGAAAATTTTGAATTTCGATCTATGAGTTGGCTCGAAATTCAACTCCAGCTCGAAATTCAACTTTTGAAAATTTTGAATTTCGATCTTCGAGCTGTCTCGAAATTCAACTCTAGCTCGAAATTCAACTTTTGAAAATTTTGAATTATGATCTTCGAGCTGGCTCGAAATTCAACTCCAGCTCGAAATTCGCCTTAAGCTTACAATTGAATTTCGATCTTCGGGCTGGCTCGAAATTTAACTCCAGCTCGAAATCTGGCTTTAAGTTACTTTGAATTTCGATGTTCGAGCCGGCTCGAAATTCAACTCCAGCTCGAAATTCAGCTTTTGTTTACTTTGAATTACGATCTTCGAGCTAGCTCGAAGTTCAAAGCTAGCTCGAAATTCACAAGAAACTGAATTTCGATCTTTGATCTTCGATGTCAGTGCCAACTTCTCGATCTAGATGAGACTTTAAATCGAGGTCGAGTACGTGAGTGTTGAAACTCGCTAAAGGACCAGAAAGAGGTACTTTAATTGAAGCATCTTTCTATATTTTGCAAATTCTTCCAAAAATCTAAAATGATTAAATGAAATGCTCTTCTTGGAGGACTCGTTCATATCGATCCCCGCACAGTGGAGGTTACTCTTTGATTATTCACACTGTACCCCTTCTCTGTTTTGGCAGACGTAATCTAATGTGAAGGCATCTAGTACCAGTAACCGTTTTGATAGCCTGCCAAAGGACAATGCAGGGGCTGAACTGTACTGTAGCTAATTCAAAGTGGCTCTTATTGCCGTGACCAAGAGAATAAACTACAAAACCACTACCATAATATGGAAAGCCATGGCTGTCTAATATTGTTCTTTTTCAATTAATGTAACCATGTGGATAATAGATATATAAGTTCACTTCGACTATATATGACTTGAAAACACCTTCTTATTTAACCGGAATCCATTACATATATCCACAGTTACAATATATGAAACCATACCGTCAGTGTATGAAACCGAGTTAGCAATATATTTAAGTTGATTTTCTCAATATATGATTCCAATTCTTCAATATATGGTACCAAAGTAGCCATGTATGGAACCAGATGTCCTTATATGAAACCGAATTATCAATATGTTAATTCATTTTTCAATACATGAAACCAATGTATTAATTTATGAAACCAAAGTAGATATATATAAGTTGGTTATTACATTATTTGATACCAATTCTTCAATATTTGGTACCAAAGTAGCCATATATGGAACCAGATGTCCTGTTATGAAACCGAATTATTAATATATTAATTCATTTTTACAATATATGAAACCAATTTATCAATGTGTGGAACCAAAGTAGCAATATATGAGTTTTTTATTACATATGATACCAATTCTTCAATATTTGGTACCAAAATAGCCATATATGGAACCAGATGTCCTGACTTGAAAATAGGTTTTTTTGGTTCCATATAATGAAAATTGCTATCATAGTATGTAACATCAACTTATACACTGCTACTTTGTTTCCATACATTAATAAAATGGTTTCATATTTTGTAAAAATGAATTAAATATTGATAATTTGGTTTCATATCAGGACATCTGGTTCCATATATGGCTACTTTGGTACCTTATATTGAAGACCTGGTATCATATAATGTGATAATCAACTTATATATTGATACTTTGGTTCAATACATGGATGAAATGGTTTCATATATTGTAAAAATGATTTAATATATTGATAATTCGGTTTCATGTTCCATAAATTGCTACTTTGGTTCCATATGTTGAATAATTGGTATCATATATTGTGATAATCAACTTATATATTGATACTTCGGCTCCAAACATTGATAAAATGGTTTCATAAAATTAATTAATATATTGATATAAGGATATCTGGTTCCATACATGGCTACTTTGGTATAATATAATCATATATTGAGAAAATCAACTTAAATATATTGCTAACTCGGTTTCATACACTGACGGTATGGTTTCATATATTGTAACTGTGGATATATATAATGGATTCCGGTTAAATAAGAAGGTGTTTTCAAGTCATATATAGTCGAAGTGAACTTATATATTATCCAAATGGTTAAATAAATTGAAAAAGAACAATATCAGACAGCCATGGCTTTCCATACCATAAAGTAAAATAGTTAGTTACTATCACTTTGCAGCCTGTCTATTCGACATTTTGTTTGAAAAATTTTGTCACGACCATTTACAGCGGCTTAAGGTAGTCTTACTGTATTGCATTCCCGCCCAAAAAATCTCACATCGGCCAATATCCTAACAAATCGCTCATTCCACGAGTGTTATTTTTTCAAAATCTTGGGCATTATATTATTTACAATCACTCATCCTTTATCGCTATGTAGTCAATTCTGGTTATAAATGGTTAAAAATTATTGAATACCGAAGATTGTGAAAAAATAACGTTCCAGAAATGACCGATTTATTACGATATTGGCCTATATTGGAATTTTTTTGGCGGGAAAGCATTGCAGTAAGACTACCTTTAAACCCTTTTGATACGTAACCGAAGACAGAAGCAATATATTATAGTTATAATCATTCGAAGAGTTTTCTGTGTTATTCTATTTCAGATTTATGACAATGGTATGATGCTGTTTTCAAGTACTGGCATCCCTACCACCGCGTACGATGGAACTTCAGACGGTAAGTATTGATTAGTAAAAAGATAAAATCATATAAATTCATTTGTATTGAAATGTATAGAGAAACCTGTGAACAAAAGACATACAATACAAGGTATAGACCCTACTTGGCCTTTATAGACAAGTGGCCATTTTTTGCAGGTTATATTATTCCTTTTGAAGGCTCGTCGAAGAGTGGCCTTTATGTTTTAGTACTCTTTATTATGAGGTGGTTGTGTAACATAGGTTTGACTATAGTATTATTTAAAAAAACGGAGCGAAAAAAAACCTACCTTTAGTCATTTTTTCGCGCTTTTGGCAATTCTAAAAATCAATTTGAAAATCGAAATTGACTAGAAAGCAAATTATAAATCAAAATTACGATAGGCCTTTCTTAGATTTGTCAAGCCTTTACAAATTGTTTGGAATTCTTGAATAATTACCTACGTCAAACAACAGAAGAAGAAAGAGACTTCAACATAATGGCGCATTTAGTGTATATTAAACCACACATAATATAATACAAAAGAAAGAGCCAGTTACTTGTAACAACAAAAAGCAAAACAGGAAATGTGTTGGGTAAATACGTACGAAAGCACAAAACCTATAAATACTCACCATCCGACAACTGTTCAAGTACGAAGAATGATCCAGAAATACCCGGAATGAAGACTTAAATAAAGTCCATGCAACAAAAGCTTTATTAATGCGTAATATATCATTTGTACAAGGGTAAAACGTCAAACTTTTACGGTGTATGTCTATCATACCAACGGTGTATGTCTATCATACCAACGGTGTATGTCTATCATACCAACGGTGTATGTCTACCATACCAACGGTGTATGTCTATCATACCAACGGTGTATGTCTATCATACCAACGGTGTATGTCTATCATACCAACGGTGTATGTACATCATACCAACGGTGTATGTCTATCATTCCAACGGTGTATGTTTATCATACCAATGGTGTCTTTAGCACTCCAATCATTGATACTAGTATCATACCGATTTTGAAAATTCATTTTGTCCGATGTTCGCTATTTAAATAAAGGAATTTCTTTTTGAACTTTTTAAGAACATTATATTTAAATAAGTAATGTAAGATCCTTTATAAACAGTTTGCACTAATAGATATGTCACCAGGGCTACACCTGTCACCAGGGCTACACCTGTCACCAGGGCTACTTTACTAAGGTCGAGTAGGGAACTTCAGGCCCCCTGTTCGCCAAGAAAAGCTCAGGATCAGTATCAAATGATCCTGATGTAAAGATCATTGTTTCATTAAAACTAAAACTGATCGTATTTTGATGATAGGATTTTTAAAATCCTGGTTATTTTATAACCATACGGGAACTGTCCAAAAAAATTCTTTCCTCTTTAACTTTTATGTGGGAATGTTACATTTGGCGAAGACATTTGGTTATTTTGTTATGTGTTTAATGTACATTCAAAATAATGAATCTTTTTTCCCCTAGTGTTTGGCATTCTCAGCCAAGCGTTTGCAACACCACTTTGGTTCAAGCAGGAAACCGGTTTAGAGTACAAATTTACATACAAACATCTAACGGCGGCTTCTATGGTAGAGTAAGTATTGGCGCATGCGTGTGGGCATGTGTTTATCATTTATGCGCATGCGCTTGTTTATTTTCATTAAGTAGTAGTATGTCCATAAATCGAAAACATAGTTCCATCACGAAATCAATTCCTTACTTATAGATGACCTCATACCGACATTGTTATTAATAATGTTATGAACCGAAGGCTAATATGACAATTTAAAGCCCAATAATAAGGTCATTATGAAAACACTTAATTATTGACAATTTAATTAATTAACTTCACATAATATAAAAAAAAGTTAAGTACTTAGTGTACAAAAATTAACTAATGTAAATTTCCGTTGTTGTGAGGTATTGAAAATGAGTTTTTTTTTTAAAAAATGAATCGGAAACCTACCTTGAAGCAATTCAAAATGTGATTTTTTTTTTCAATTAAAAAAAAATGCAAATTCATAATGGCCGAACTGGAGAGCCGATCAAAATTCTCCAATCTCATTATATATAGCCGAGTTTTTTCACAAATGCCTTATTTTTTGCATAATGGCCTTGTTAAATGGTCATACTTCATAATAGCCTTACATTTGAAGTGAAATTATAAATTATATTATAAATTATAAAGGCTTATGAAAAATAAGGGAGAGGCTTTCTCTTTTTTTTCTCGTGCCAGGCCTGTCTATAATTTTATTATAATAGACACTTTTTTTGTATTCTATCTATCAAGTTTTTTTAAAAATTGTAACATGCCTTTCTGTATGAAACATAAACATGTCAAAAACCTCTCGCGGCGATATGCCATGGTCACATCGATAAGAAATATTTTACTATTTTCAAACTAGTAATAGGTCGGACAACATATTCCATTCTCTTCCGGTTTGTTCAAAATGAATTGATTAGATGTCTGATAAAGGGTGACTGTATCAGACATGCATCTATCAACATAAATCAATATACAAATGTACTGACAAAACGAGCTACCTGTATGTAAACATATTTTAATAACACTTTTCTTCGCTTCAGTGAAATTTCTGTATTTATCAAAAAAGGTTAGACTTAAACGACATGTAATGAGAGCGCAAAACGCATCATTAAGCGACGGCTTACTTACGCCACCGTAAAGCTAAGCTTCGTAGGTTCTCATTCAATTTAAAACTTTCTTTAAATATACTTGTATGGATTTCAGCGCTGGTGATAAAGCTATTGGGCAATCTAAGTGCGACTTACAGAGAATTGCAAACATAATTGGCGACTGTAAGGCGGATGGATACAGGGATTCACTGTCGGACGTGAAAGAAGCTCTTATTGTCACGTGGTCAATAACTCAAACCACTACTGTAAATATCTTAAACTTCCTCAATTCATGAAGTGTAATATTTATTAATAAATTGATATGAGTTGGGTGATAAGTAATAAAGCAGTAAATAAAATTGAATATTTAGTGCGCATGGTCCACCTATATCTTTAATCGTGTTGCTACATGGTTTATGCAACAGACAAAACATGGAAACAAAATTCGTAATATTTCTCACCAAAACATAAAATGATATAGCTACAATTCTAAATGACACACGATTGGCAAAAGATGATGTAGAACGTATCATTTGTGTGACGTCACATTTAACTAGTGACGTCAATTTGATACTAGTTAGTAGAAATCTAAATTGCACGAGTATCGGACCTGTTCATCTTAAATGTGTCAAAACCCGAAAGAAAAAGTGAAATATGAGCCCTCTTAAAGATAAGGGGTTAATTTCCCGGACCGTTGTGAAAAAAAGCTATTGTCCAGACAATTAATAAAAAAAATTATCACAATTTCAATGTTGGTATTAAATTGTTTTGCAGACATACTACTTTCAAGGAATTCTTGCTGTCAACGAAGCTAGCGAGACCCATATAATATTTCTTTATAATGATCCGGCTGGAATTCCCACGGGAGCTACACAATACTCAACGGTAAATCCATAAAATTACGTCCCTATGTATTATTCCTTGACTTAATATCAGAAGTTATCTCCTGTACCTTAATGAATTCATTTATACAGTATTGCAGGATTTTACGCAAGCATGACGGCATTATGCTTCATTGTTTAGAATATTTAGTATTGATTGCTTTTAATAATTAAACTATATGTACCTAGGTAAATTGTGAACACATACTGTTTTCCTCTGAATATATATATAGATTCTTTACATCGACATGTGGAGTAAGGAATTTCTAATTTTCTAACACTCTAGAACAGTATAATCATGAGAAAACTATGTTCACAATGTTATTTTTAGATAAGGATACACAAAGTTTCTTCTTCGTTTATTGAGGCCTTTCATTTACAAATGAATAGATAATGAAATTCGGTTGCTTTCAACATATTTTGTTCCTGTGGAATAAAAAGTTCAAGGAAACACGAAATTTTGTAATTTGTTGGTCCCCTTTACCCGCCCAGACCTACCCGCTGTGCAAGAATAATATTTAGATAGCCGAATGTCGATGTTAATTTGGGTCACATATCAGTGTTAATAAATGTCTGACGGACATTGTAAATGTAAAAATAATATCTAAATACAAGCATTGTTTTTTTTAATATTTTTATTATATAACTTCTGTAGGATTTCTTAGAATGTATATTTTTCAAGATACATGTACACCTTATTTAAAATGATAAGATACGCCCATTTAAGTAAAAGATATGCCTTACTGGAATATAGAAAACCTTAATTTTAATAAATATATATTTGAGCCGTGTCACGACAAAACCAACATAATGGGTTTGCGACCAGGGTTTGCTGTCCGCTATCAGTTTCTCTACTTGTAATAGGGTTTGTAAGCGAACAGCATGGATCCTGATCAGACTGCGCGGATGCGCAGGCTGGTCTGGATCCATGCTGGTCGCAAACCCATTATGTTGGTTTTGTCGTGACACGGCTCATTTGTATTCATTCAGGGTTACATATCTGGTCAGTCGGTGTCTGCACCTACAAATAACGCTGGAGTATGCCCTTATACGTCAACGACCATTGCAAGCGGATCAAAATTACATACTCAGTCGAACTGCAGATGTGGCGGACACACAGGAGGAATCTATTCCTTTATGACCAATAAAGGTAAGTCAGTCAGTCGTCACCAATGTCATATCAAGTATTCACATCAGAGGATATCAAATGAATGTGGATTCCATATTGAATAATCAAATGAATGTGGATTCCTTATTTTACAATCAAATGAATGTGGATTCCATATTGTACAATCAAATGAATGTGGATTCCTTATTTTACAATCAAATGAATGTGGATTCCATTTTGTACAATCAAATGAATGTGGATTCCATTTGTGTAATCAAATGGATGTGGATTCCACATTGTGTAATCAGATGAATGTGGATTCAATATTGTACAATCAAATTAATGTGGATTCCATGTTGTACAAATAAATTAATGTGGATTCCACATTAAATAATCAAATGAATGTAGACTCCATATTGTATAATCTAATGAATGTATATTCAATATTGTACAATCAAATGAATGTGGATTCCATATTGTCTAATCAAATGAATGTGGATTCCATTGTGTACAATCAAACGAATGTAGATTTCCTATTGTACAATCAAACGAATGTGGATTCCATATTGTACAATCAAATGCATGTGGATTCCATATTGTGTAATCAAATAAATGTAGATTCCATATTGTACAATCAAAGGAATGTGGATTCCATATTGTACAATCAAATGAATGTCGATTCCATATTGTACAATCAAATGAATGTGGATTCCATATTGTACAATCAAATGCATGTGGATTCCATATTGTGTAATCGTAAAAATGTGGATCCCATGCTGTATCATTGAATGAATGAAGATTTCATACAATTTAAACGCGTCGTCGAAACAGATCCCTTGCATATTAAGGCGGCATATTCAGTCACATGATTGCGCCAATTTGTTTGTGTAAACGTCTGCTGTAAAATTTCAAAATTCAGTTATTGGTTATAGTTTTCCTTTCATGTGAGTCGGGTTCAATGAAGAAAAATAGAGAGGAAGGAATACAGAAGAATAATGTCATTTGTACCTTTTTTCGCGAACGAACAGTGCCGTATATTGTTTGACGATATTGACCTGAGACACATTAATTTTCGGAAGCTTTTAACATTTAATTTATTATTAAAATTAAATTTTCATAAATTTTACTCTAGAATTATTTCAGAGACAGAATATACCGTATCTTTTGAAATAACAGTGTGTTCCGAACCATTTCAACATAACTTTATAAAAATATGCTAAAACATCAGTGCATTCACTCGATACATTGGATATCTATCGGATTTAACATGTATTTTTCTATGAAATAGTAACAAAAACATATGACCTGCTAGAAAGCGCTTGTTATGACAAATTAGTGTGTACCGTTCCCCTTGTCTATGGAAAGAAAACTGTATTCGAATTTTCTCAAAAAATATTCAGGGGTTTTCAGAATTTTGATATACTGTGGAAAGCTGATATAATTACGGATACTCTGCGCCTTATCTGATCAAAATCGGTTGAGTAATAAATAAGTTATAAATAAAAAAAACATACCTGAATCGAGTGAAAAATCGGCGTGCTCCGTACCCGAAAAGTCACGTCGTATGGCCACATTGCAATCGATATTCTTAAGTTAATCGGCAGAGTATCGTACGGTAAATGTCCGATTGCCGTCCGTTATCCGCCCAGTTTACAGCCATCGTACAGTGACTGTAAAATATACGGGCAAAAGCCGAGCTGTCTGACGGTATTGGTATTGCATGTTAACCTACGTTCGTACCGTTCTTCATGCCTCCTCTTTTTGCTGGCCTTTTCCCTTGTTTTCTTGGTTAACTTGCCCTCATCCCCTCTGACTTCTTTCCTACCTTTCTTTTCTTGCTGTTTTGGAAGGCATATTACAACTTTGATAAAGATTGTAAATGGGACTTAAGTACGTTAACAAAAAACACCTGACTGTGTGAAAATGCAGAACTTTTAAGGAGAGAATATATGTGTGTTATTAAGTTTCTTTATTCTCGCTATCTGTTGCCCGTACAAGCGAACCATCAAGAAGAGTATTAGTCGTTTTAGATTTTTTAGGCAGCGAAAGATACAGATACAGCAAGAAGCCCCAATTTCAGAGAAATATGAAATACAAGATTAACAAATGAAGGGCGGAGTTTAATGAAGGAAACCCGACACAATCCAGCAACACATGACCGCCGGCAAGGAACCCAGCAGGACACCAAACAAACCATAAGAGTGCACAAAGCCAAAGCCAAGAAGTTTCTTCTTCTTCTTCTCATGCTATCCAAGTGTTTAAGCACGTTTTGATACACGGGACCTCAATTTAAGACTCCACCAAAATAGCTCACAGAAATTTCAGATGACAAGCCCAGGAATCGAACCCACAATGTCGAGATTACAAGTCTAGCAATTTAACCGATTGAACTCTGTAGACTGGTTAACGAGAGATTGGTATTTTGTGATGGTATTTGTGATTTTCTCTCCTGATCCCGGCAGTAATCCAACTTGCCAGAGCACAATTCAGCCACGGCATCGTTCCTTGACAGTCTGTCAAGAAGGTATACGGTATTATTGCAGGGATTGATAACTTCTCTACAACGATAATGAACTTCACCGTCTAAGAATTGAACAAGGTCGCCTAGTTCACAGTCTAACGCTTAACCTGCCGTAAGATATGTTTAATACTCCCAACGCTATCCCTCAGGGCACCTTAAGACCATACGTGCAACATACTGCGTCTATCCGGGTTCTAGCCAGTAACGTGCCGAGTCGCCTTCGGTTATCACTCGGATATCGCTCGAAAACTGGAGAATTATTCGTAAAGCACAAAGTGTTCGGCTGGGTATCGGATTATATTTAACCGTGTCTGCTGCGGTGAGCTGTCGATGTACCAGATGCCGCAAGAAAATAACACCGCGCTAAAATTCTCCAATTACCCGTACGGTATCTCACCGGTGGCTTGACTTGACTTGACACCGGAGACCTTAAACAATTTGACAATATCAGCCCGTTAAGACATCAGTACCCCATCGTAAACCTAATCGGAGTGTAATGTGACGCACGCTTAGGGTAACTTTACTTTATATATAAACCATGTATACCGTTATGCCGTACGCTATACTTCGGAATCCGACAAAAGGTCATTGAATATGCAAATGTCTTAGGTCAATATTGCCAAACAATATCGCGTTGCTGTGTATCCGTGTTGGACATTTGAATCCACTTGTCCTAAGTAGAAGGAAGAGCCGATGGTTTGCGATTGGATTCCATATTGTGTAATTAAATGAGTGTGATTTCCGAATTATTTTGTAAAATGTTCATATAAACGTGACAAATGTATACCGGTTTATTTTGAAAGACACGCTTTACTAAGCCCCGCCCCTTCTTGAAGTGGAAGACACGCCTATTTAAACATTATTGTATTATGATTTGATATTGGCTTCTGAACTGCAGAGATGACTGTCGGTACAAGAAAAAAAAGAAATGTTTTATTGCTTGTAGTTTGCATGTAGACAGCTAATCCTATAATCTGATCTCTTCAGAAACGGTGAGAGACAAATGTCCATTAAACTCAACAATTACCGGAACCAATCTCAAATCCTACAACAAATTCTTAAAATAGAACATATCTTGTCATTTCGGCCTACAATCCAATCAAGAAGCTCCATTTCCGTGTATGCTATTAGTCAAACTGGTCTTGGCTCTTTCCGTCTCCTTTGGGCCCCCTTTTTTAAAAAATGCATGAATAATGTACATGAAAAACACGAAAATAAGTGACACAGTCTGAGGTTTATACTTGCTTGCTGACCGCCATTAAGCGATAGTATGTCCTTAAAACTAATAATTTGTTTATTTTCTTTGGAAAAAATTGCATACTACAAACACATTCCCATATTGAAATCAAAATTTTAAGACCCTCAGCTTTATATCTATATTATATCTTAAATTACATTAGTATTTATATTATATCAGATCCGATATTATTTCATATTTTACCAATTAAAAAAAAGGTATTATTTACTTTTGACTCGCATTGGACACCATAGCGTGTACTAATTGTTCCAAACCTTTTTTTTTCCTTTTTTTTCAGCGGCAGACGTGTGTGGTAAAAGCAAAGCCGACTTTACCGCCGAATGTAGTAAGTAATTTAGTACATAAATACATTAACATTTTCATATACTTGGACAAAATGACGGTGACTGACTTAAGTAAATTTGAGCCGTGTCACGACAAAACCAACATAATGCGTTTGCGACCAGCATGGACCCAGACCAGCCTTTGCACCCGCGCAGTCTGATCAGAATCCATGCTGTTCGCTCTCAGTTTCTCTACTTGTTACAGGGTTTGTAAGCGAACGGCATGGATCATGATCAGACTGCGCGGATGCGTAGGCTGGTCAGGATCCATGCTGGCCGCAAACCCACTATGTTGGTTTTGTCGTGACGCGGCTCATTTGTCTTTAAGTGAGGCATACTTTTGCCTTTTCACACGTGACCGGCAATTTTATGGTCTGCAATGTGACACTCTGTCCCGTTTATCGTGCTGACGTTGATCGACTGTAGTCTATTCAGCAAACAATGAAATTTAGATCAAGATCTATGGAAAATCAGATTATATGAGAAAAATATTGAAATTGGCGCAGATTTAGTGTTTTGCATAGAATTATCATTCTATTTATCTGCATCAATGAATATTATACTATTATTTAACAATTATTTACATCCAATCGCTGTTTTTAGTTGGTAACACAGGTGATATTCCCCGTATTGGACGCTGAAGTATCCAATATAGTTATTCTTTGTCACATTTTTCGTGATTTAGATATTTTATAAATATGTGATCAAACATTGAATGTGAAGAATACGGGACTACATTTACTAGTATACAGCTGGAGGAAATCAAATTAGACACGCCTGCTGGCTCAACTTATATGGTTTCTCCTTCTGTGTTCTTGTTAAAAACGTTTACCGTATTGTACAGCAAAATGTTAAATCCGTATTGTACAGCAAAATGTTAAACCCGTATTGTACAGCTAAATGTTAAATCCGTATTGTACAGCTAAATGTTAAATCCGTATTGTACAGCTAAATGTTAAATCCGTATTGTACAGCTAAATGTTGAATAGCTTATAATAGCTTATAATTAAAGATCTATTTGTAACGCATCAGCCGTCGTATTTGACAGATGACAATGAGGTGAACTTAATGAAACCTATATTCTTTTTTTATGAGATATATAGAGGATATTGAATGAGTGTACGTTTAATACTGAATTTATTGAACAAATTGAATTTGGCATAATATTATTTTAGGCTATTTAGCTAGGTTAATAAATTTAGTAATGAACTTACATGAATTTAATAATCTATTTATCACATACCAAAAATAAAGATCATAAGAACTGATAAAGAAATATTTTTATTGACGCGCCTAACATTTAGCACGTCTTAACGCTATGTTTGTATAATGCAAATGACGTCAAGTAAAAATATAAGGAGTCGCAAAATCGGCACAGGTGTGTGATAAATGATAATATCAATGGAATCTAAATTATATCACACTTCTTAAATCAGTAGATTTTTGGTTCTCATTCTTTTCTTAAATAAAAGATATAGCAAAAAAGAACGCTTAACGGATAGATATTTTTATGACGTCATGAATTACGTCACATAAATTATCGTCATTTCGGTGACAATTTTGACAATTTAGAAACCTATTAAATGTCTTAAAGATGAGAAAGGGATAAAAGGTCAGATGAGATTAAGACAAAATGTTTGGATTAATATGGACCACACATATATGTATTATTCCAAATGATAAATATCACGAAAGTTGTTCGGCGTTAACTTCTATGAATGCATAATTTAAACTTCTTGAAATCATATATTCATATTTATACAATCTTAACTTCATGAATTCATGAATACACGATTTCAGCTTCATTAGTTTACAATTCTAATTTTATGAATGTACGATTTTAACTTAATAAATTCATTCTTTTAACTTCATGGCTTCACGTCATAAGCTCGCGAAGTCAATTTGATAGATTCAAGTTTTCAATTTTATGAATGTATGAAATAATAAAATTGAAAATTGCGAGTTCACGGACTTATGAAGGTGACATTATATATTAACGAAGATGAAATTGTGAATTTGTGAAGCAGTTTCGCTGAAAGAATAAAGTTGAAATGACCCTACGGAGTTTTCGAACATGTCCATTTATGAACACAGCTTTATCAAAGGAAACGTTTTTGTTGTCATGATACATATTAATGATTTTAAATAAGGCATATTTAGGTTTATAACTTTATTCATTCAAAATTGATTTAACACAATTTTGATTATGTTATTCAGATAAAGATATTCAAACAGATAACACTATGAATTTCAATATGGCGTGTCGACCTCCACGTAATCCTCAAGACACGTGTCTAGGTAAGTGCGTCTTATACACGTAAACGTCTTATGGACGTGTAAATAAAATAATTATTTACTTAGACCGGGGGTTTCCTAAGGTCATTACTTAAATCTTGAATCATTCTTCATTTTATTCGACAGCCGATATAATTATTATAGTGTAGTATATCTACCAAGTGTAATTTAAGTGTTTTTTTTTTAATTGCAAATTGTATGTAATGTTATTTGTACGACTTATGGTGCATTGGAGGGTTCAGCATTACCTCCCCTGAAATAACGACTTTAACGTAGAATTTTGTTTCGACATCTTTTTTTTCGGTCGAAGTCCGTATGAGATCGGTTTGACTTCCTTTAAAATTTACAAGGAAGAATTGAATATATAAAGGATTTTCATTGGCCATTTTAAAATTGCAAACTGAAATCTAGGAATCTCATTGGCCATACTAAAATTAGTATTATAATCTAAAGGAACGCTTTTCACTCTAGTCGGACATAGACTAGCATGTAATGCGATTTTCAATTTATTCTGAGTATGTTTCTTAAGTATCTTTCTGCTTTAAGTGACCCTATGTAAGAAATTGAAATTTTACATTTTTGGGCTTTTGGACTTCAGTAATATCATTATGAATAATCATATATTCGCATTTTATTTCAGAGTTGGTATATTGTAGGGACACTGACTCTGGATACGAAGTTAACGTTAACTTGTTGCATGCACCTCATAAAACTAACACTGCCATGAAATTTCTAGACCAGACTCAGTTTGCTGCTAACACAGTGTCAGAAAGTACGAATCCTGTGTGTGCGCAAACATTTTCGTTAATAACCGGAACCACCGACAACTACAAGGCTGTAGTCACTAACAGTAATCCCACTACTTGTGACTGGACTTATACCGCAGGTGTAAGCAAGTTTCGTATGTATATAAATACCGCAGGTGTAAGCAAGTATCATATGTATATAAATACCGCAGGTGTAAGCGAGTTTCGTATGTATATAAATACCGCAGGTGTAAGCAAGTATCATATGTATATAAATACCGCAGGTGTAAGCAAGTATCATAGGTATATAAATACCGCAGGTGTAAGCGAGTTTCGTAGGTATATAAATACCGCAGGTGTAAGCGAGTTTCGTAGGTATATGAATACCGCAGGCCTTAGCTAGTTTCTAATTATGTATTTAAATACCGCAGGCAGCTGTAAGCGAGTTTTGTTTGTATATAAAATACCAGCAGGTGTACGTAAGTTCAAGTATCGTAAGCCAAGTTTGTATATAAATACCGCAGTGTAAGCAAATATCATATGTATTTAAATACCGCTGGTGTAAGCAAGTATCTATCAGGCCTTAGGTAATGTATTTAAATACCGCAGGTGTAAGCGAGTTTCGTAGGTATATAAATACCGCAGGTGTAAGCGAGTTTCGTAGGTATATGAATACCGCAGGCCTTAGCTAGTTTCTAATGTATTTAAATACCGCAGGTGTAAGCGAGTTTTGTAGGTATTTAAATACCGCAGGTGTAAGCAAGTTTTGTATGTATATAAATACCGCAGACGTAAGCAAGTATCGTATGTATATAAATACTGCAGGTGTAAGCGAGTTTCATATGTATATAAATACCGCAGACGTAAGCAAGTATCATATGTATAAAAATACCACAGATGTAAGCTAGTTTCGTATGTATATAAATACGGCAGGTGTAAGCAAGTATCATATGTATATAATTACCGCAAGTGTAAGCAAGTATCATAGGTATATAAACACCGCAGGTGTAAGCGAGTTTCGTAGGTATATAAATACCGCAGGTGTAAGCGAGTTTCGTATGTATATAAATACCGCAGATGTAAGCGAGTTTATTTATTTTAAATTCAATCGTTTAAACACTAAAGAGTTTTAGGTAAAATATAGTTACGTTATTTGGTTATAATACATTGTTGAGTACACAAGTTTTTTTTGCTAATAAGTACACAACAAATCTATATTGGACGATGCGCTAGATGAGTGCAATACAGGTTATAGAGCTGTGTGAGAGTGCAGCAGAATCAGCTTTATACTGACATCTTTATTACACACCTTTGTTTTTTAATACATGTAATATGGACAGAACCGCTATTTCTTTAATACAGACACAACTTTGTTATTTCGTGTACACCATGGGTTCGATAAGGGCGTGTTCAGCTTGGAAAAATGAAAACAAGAGTAAATAATTGATTGAAGGAGAAAAAAAAGAAACTCATCATTTTTGAGCCTCATAAAGAGACTAGATCCTACTCTATTGTTTATGTTTTTTTTTAAACACGTACAGGTCCTTAGTCTTTCTAGAATAAGACCGCGGCAGTAGATCCCCCACGCTACATACTGCACTCGTACCTACTTAACCTTTCGGGGAATTCTTCCCTGAGCGATAACTATAACACAAAAAATTTATAAATGATCTTGCAAAATATTCCGTCATTACTTTTAGAACTTTGATAATTAATAGCTTATTCTAATTAATATATGTAAGACCATTCATATTTCAGCCGCCTGCCACACTCCAGTTTGTGGTAAGAGTGTATGACTCAACAGAGGCAGACTTAGAGAGAGCCGGTGATGTTTACCTCAAAGCCACGTGCAACGTGTTGCCAAAGGAGACCATTGTTAATGTGGATACCAAGTGAGTATAAATGGTTACCTCCCTTAGTACACTTGCAACGTGTTGCCAAAGGAGACCATTGTTAATGTGGATACTTAGTGAGTATAAATGGTTACCTCTCTTAGTACACTTGCAACGTGTTGCCAAAGGAGACCATTGTTAATGTGGATACTTAGTGAGTATAAATGGTTACCTCTCTTAGTACACTTGCAACGTGTTGCCAAAGGAGACCATTGTTAATGTGGATACAAAGTGAGTATAAATGGTTACCTCCCTTAGTACACTTGCAACGTGTTGCCAAAGGAGACCATTGTTAATGTGGATACAAAGTGAGTATAAATGGTTACCTCCCTTAGTACATTTGCAACGTGTTGCCAAAGGAGACCATTGTTAATGTGGATACAAAGTGAGTATAAATGGTTACCTCCCTTAGTACATTTGCAACGTGTTGCCAAAGGAGACCATTGTTAATGTGGATACTTAGTGAGTATAAATGGTTACCTCCCTTAGTACATTTGCAACGTGTTGCCAAAGGAGACCATTGTTAATGTGGATACTAAGTGAGTATAAATGGTTACCTCCCTTAGTACATTTTTGCAACGTGTTGCCAAAGGAGACCCATTGTTAATGTGTGGATACAAAAGTGAGTATAAATGGTTACCTCCCTTAGTACATTTGCAACGTGTTGCCAAAGGAGACCATTGTTAATGTGGATACAAAGTGAGTATAAATGGTTACCTCTCTTAGTACATTTGCAACGTGTTTGCCAAAGGAGACCATTGTTAATGTGGATACAAAGGAGACCATTGTTAAGTGAGTGAGTATAAATGGTTACCTCCCTTAGTACACTTGCAACGTGTTGCCAAAGGAGACCATTGTTAATGTAAATGGATACAAAGTGAGTTAATGTATAAATGGTTACCTCCCTTAGTACACTTGCAACGTGTTGCCAAAGGAGACCATTGTTAATGTGGATACAAAGTGAGTATAAATGGTTACCTCCCTTAGTACAGTATAAATGTTACCTCCCTTAGTACATTTGCAACGTGTTGCCAAAGGAGACCATTGTTAATGTGATACTTAGTGAGTATAAATGGTTACCTCCCTTAGTACATTTGCAACGTGTTGCCAAAGGACGACCATTGTTAATGTGGATACAAAGTGAGTATAAATGGTTACCTCTCTTAGTACACTTGCAACGTGTTGCCAAAGGAGACCATTGTTAATGTGGATACTTTAGTGAGTATAAATGGTTACCTCCCTTAGTACATTTGCAACGTGTTGCCAAGGAGACCATTGTTAATGTGGATACAAGTGAGTATAAATGGTTTTACCTCACCTTAGTACACTTGCAACGTGTTTTTGCCAAAAGGAAACCATTGTTAATGTGGATACAAAGTGAGTATAAATGGTTACCTCTCTTAGTACATTTGCAACGTGTTGCCAAAGGAGACCATTGTTAATGTGGATACAAAGTGAGTATAAATGGTTACTCCCTTAGTACATTTGCAACGTGTTGCAAAGGAGACCATTGTTAATGTGGATACTTAGTGAGTATAAATGTTAGCCTCCCTTAGTACATTTGCAACGTGTTGCCAAAGGAGACCATTGTTAATGTGGATACTAAGTGAGTATAAATGGTTACCTCCCTTAGTACATTTCCAACGTGTTGCCAAAGGAGACCATTTTAATGTGGATACAAAGTGAGTATAAATGGTTACCTCCCTTAGCTACATTTGCAACGTGTTGCCAAAGGAGACCATTGTTAATGTGGATACAAAGTGAGTATAAATGGTTACCTTTCCCTTAGTACATTTGCAACGTGTTGCCAAAGGAGACTATTGTTAATGTGGATACAAAGTGAGTATAAATGGTTACCTCCCTTAGTACATTTGCAACGTGTTGCCAAAGGAGACCATTGTTAATGTGGATACAAAGTGAGTATAAATGGTTACCTCTCTTAGTACATTTGCAACGTGTTGCCAAAGGAGACCATTGTTAATGTGGATACAAAAGTGAGTATAAATGGTTACCTCCCTTAGTACATTTGCAACGTGTTTTGCCAAAGGAGACCACCTTGTTTAATGTGGATACAAAGTGAGTATAAATGGTTACCTCTCTTAGTACATTTGCAACGTGTTGCCAAAGGAAACCATTGTTAATGTGGATATTAGTGAGTATAAATGGTTTACCTCCCTTAGTACATTTGCAAACGTGTTGCCAGAAAGGAGACCATTGTTAATGTGATATACAAAGTGAGTATAAATGGTACCTCCTTAAGTACATTTGCAACGTGTTGCCAAAGGATGACCATTGTTAATGTGGATACAAAGTGAGTTAAATGGTTACCCTCCCCATACAATAAAAAACACATTCAATTCCCAAAAAAATACTTTCAAAATTTTACTTTTCATGAAACTGAATGTTATTTTTATTCCTAAAATGCATTCGTTTTATTAATTTTGACAGCCAATTCTATCCATTTTATAGAACTTTCAGACATTGTTATCTCCCTTGATGAACAGTACTTTGTTTTTCTTGATTATCCTGGCAACCATTATAACTCATTTATTGGTTTGAAAGTCAACAATAGCTGGCTGCCATTATTATATCACCTGATAATACGGATACTCATTCGTACCGTGATTACCTACGAACATGATCTGCTTTTGTAAATATCGACTGCCATTATTTGCCCCTCACCGCTGTGGGTTCGAATCCCGACAGGGACTTTGGATTCTTTCATGTGAGGAAGCTATTCAGCTAGCTTACGGAACGCCGGTGGTTCTACTCAGGTCTCCGTTCGTGCCTGAAATAATGCAAGAAAGGGCACCTGAGGTCTTCCTCCACCAGTAAAGCTTGAACGTCGCGATATGACTTATACTGTGTCGATGTAAAAAAAAACACTGCTGTTATTATCTCCCTTTAATTTTCCTTAGGCTTTTGGATCCGAGAGGAATTCCCCCAAAATCACAATGTTTTGCTTTAAAAAACAATCCGCCTTAGCAGGTCAAATTCTTCTTTTTCTAAAAAAAAACCCGAAACAACCCGAAAAAACAAACAAACACATTAATGTGTTTATATCACATCACGTCGAAAAACCGCAGGCATATCTTTTTCTGCCGCCGATTTTGGTAATATATAGAAAATGTGTGTTTATCAAGAAGTACATAAACTTACAACGTGGAATGATTCAATTTAGAGAAAATATCTATCCCGTTGACAAGTCTCAAACAAACAAACTAATGAACAACCAATTGAATAAATGAATGAATGTATGAATGAATAAATGAATGAATGTATGAATGAGTAAATGAATGAATGTATGAATGAATAAATGAATGAATGAATAAATGAATAAATGAATGAATATATGAATGAATAAATGAATTAATGTATGAGTGAATAAATAAATAAATTAATTGATTAATTAATCTCATGCTTAATTATTTTTTCCATGCACATTACAGTGGCGTTGTAGAATATAACGTGATTAAAGCGTCGAGCCGGTATGTTGAGATGTTTATCAGCAATTCACGTTACTACAAGGCTTCTGTTAAGTCGAAGATTCCCAACGGAGATAAGGTGTTTCTAGGTCAAGATCTCTTCCTTGGTGTCGCTCTGGACTACGGTACCACTAAGCCAATAGGTATGGTTACAATGTTAATCGTAACTTTACGGCCATTTCCGTAACTTTTCGGCCCTTTCCGTAATAGCGATAATTGGTTTTCGACAAAAATATTAATTCTGTATTTCAAAATTTTAATGTAAGTAGTCTGTAACTAAGATTTACGAAACAGGGTGTGCACACTACCAAGCAGGTTGTCACGTGACTAAAATGTTTTATAGCAGTGACTTGAAAAAAATGGCGGCTTAGTTGTTATTTTGGTTCATCCGAATGCATGCGGCTTTAAAAGCGAAAGACATTTTGTACCGTCAGACGGAAACGGCCTATTAACAATATAAAACCGTTAATGAATTCAATCTTGCTTACCACATGTTGTTCATTTTTTTATAACAAAAAGGAATCAATTGACTATGGACGGGAAATGTTTGTAATCCTTAAAATAAGCACTGTATAATATATATTTTAATTGTGTTAATATTCGTAATAAAGGATGCACATACTGGTCGGTGTTTTAAAATGAATTTGAGAGATATTTTAATCTTACAACCTTAACATAGGACAACAGCAAGAACTTCCAAAAATAATTTTTCACTGTTAAGATTGTACTGGTCTCCATGTTGTCTATCCATGTCCGTTATTTAAGATCACACGACCCTACTGTCTATCCTCGTCCGCCATGTAAGATCACATAATTCTACTGTTCTCCATGTTTGCTATCCTTGTCCGCCATTTTAGATCACATGACCATACTGTCTTTCCTCGTCTGCCATTTAAGATCACATGATTCTACTTTTCTCCATGTTTTCTACCCCCGTCCGTCAATATATGTCCGCCATTTTAGATCATATGACGCAGACAATTATATTAAACGTTCTTTCGTTTTTTTCAGATAAAGTACATGCATATGGACTCTACGCGTATGATTGCGAGGCGTCGAATAATGCTGCTTTTTCTTCAACTGGTACAAACAGAGTGATTCGATTAACAGATGCATCAACTGGGTATACCTCTTTCTTTTACGAATGCGTTGACAGCTATTCGTACAGTAACTGTAATATCACGCGCGTGAAGGGTGAACACCACTATAATACAATAAAATAATGAATTGATTTTTTTTTCTGAAATTTTAAGTCGTAACCATTGCCATCATCCCCTTGGAGAACGGGAGTGTTGATTTTAGATTTTCAAATATAGTTTAAATCCCCGGTCTATTTGTGTCCGTCGAAAGGCAATATCATCATCCGTTATTTTGGTGGATCACATTGTCCCGGCTGCGTGGGCAGAAACGAATGAACGGTCGGCACATTTCCCCCCGCGGTGTAGGCGGGATAATAAATTACAAATGAATATTTAGATAACAAAGTGACAAAAATCCGCTTAGCTTTTTGGCAAAAGTGTATGGACAAAAATTCCGAATAAAACCAGGAATCTGCAGGTTTCTCCTATAAATAATAAGTTAACATTTATTTGATATATTTTCCAAAAAAATGTACATAACAAAATATGCACCAACGTCGAATTAACTCCCAATTTTTTCCAGCCGACATTGGTTTAGAAAAATCATTTCAAATAATATGTTGCTAGCTCGGTTTGATAGATGAGATTGATGTGATTTTCTATCTATAGATGCAGAGCAGGGACATTGCAGAGTGGCAAAGCATTTTATTTGTCAGAAGAATTTAAAGTAGCCTCAAAAGACGGAGCAGACGCTCTCGGTATAATCTCGGACACCACCACGGGAACCTATAATTTTGTACAGTTATCAGGGAAGTTTGACGCAGCTAAATGGCTGGTAGGGGGAAATGATCACGTGTACTTCAGATGTAAGGTCAAGTTTTGCCGAAACCAAGACTTTAAAACATCGTCAAAATGCTGGTAAGGGGGGGGGATGTAGTTTTACACCAATGTTTATGCTATTTATCTCTTTTTTCTCCTAGAAGCCGTCAATTTCCGCCAACCATTCCGTCTACTTTTCGCCACAATTTCGTCTATTTTCGCTTATTTCGTCTACTTCCCGCCATATTTCGTCTATTTCCGCAATTATTTTGTCTACTTCCGCCAAAAAGTTCTTTTATTTCCGCTATTTTTCGTCTACTTCGCCATTTATTTTCGTCTACTTTGGCCATATTCCGTCTCCTCCTCCTGCGCCTCATTATCCTTATTTTCTCTTCTCTCTTTCTATTTTGGTTCATATTAATCTATATTTTTTTCTCAACATGCCGTCTATTTTCTCCGTCAATATTTTTCTGCACATTCCGTCTTTATTTTTGTTTTTGATATTCCGTCACCCCACCACATTTCGTCTTTATGCTCCAAATTCCGTTAATTTTCCACATCCCGCCTTTTTATTCTACATTCATTTTATTCTCGCCTATTTGAACATATTTTGCCTATTTTGAAATATTTCTTTTCAAATGAGTAGTAACAAATTTCTTTCCAAAATCATATTCATCCGACAATTCATAAAAGGGCGTTGTACCCTATTTAAGCATATCAGTATGGTCAGAAGCATTTATACTTTTTATCTTTCCAAATTAACAATGAAATTTAAAAAAGACTGAAACAACTGATTCGTGACTTTCAAAAATATGTTTGCACGAGTTGTTTACCTTTGTATAACACTTGCTCAATCATATTTTACAGTGTACTTAATAAAAGGCGGTTTATAGTTGTCCAATTTTCACTGTCTTCATTATTATTTTTTGAAAATTAGTATATATATTTATATTGTATTAATATATCTGTGTTATAGAGTGTCGGCGTTAAAGAGGGTCAGTGTTAAAGAGGGTCGGTGTTAAAGAGTGTCGGTGTTAAAGAGGGTCGGTGTTAAAGAGTGTCGGTGTAAGGGGAGAGGAGTATACTAGCGATTGAAGATAATGCTCACTATTTATAATATAATCGTAATGTTTGCATGGAAACAGTAGTTATGGTTCCTTATCAATTATTAATTCAATGAAAACATTTAATATATATGTATATTCAGGTGTGTGCAAACCATCCAAATGTAGATTACACTAAACGAAGAAGAAGGGATGTTAACGAGACCACAGATCCTTACCCACCTATTACCGTTACTGCCAATGTAAAACTCGCAAAACCGCCTCAAGGTATGTTAAAAGCTTAATTCTGTCATACCCGCCTATTACCGTTACTGCCAATGTAAAAAATGTAAAACTCGCAAGACCGCCTCAAGTAATGTTAAAAGCTGAATTCTGTCATACCTGCCTATTACCGTTACTGCCAATGTAAAACTCGCAAGACCGCCTCAAGGTACGTAAAGCTCAAGTCTGTCATACCCGCCTATTACCGTTACTGCCAATGTAAAACTCGCAAAACCGCCTCAAGGTATGTTAAAAGCTTAATTCTGTCATACCCGCCTATTACCGCTACTGCCAATGTAAAAATGTAAAACTCGCAAGACCGCATCAAGGTATGTTAAAAGCTTAATTCTGTCATACCCGCCTATTACCGCTACTGCCAATGTAAAAATGTAAAACTCGCAAGACCGCATCAAGGTATGTTAAAAGCTTAATTCTGTCATACCCGCCTATTACCGTTACTGCCAATGTAAAACTCGCAAGACCACCTCAAGGTACGTAAAGCTAACGTCTGTCAGACCCGTATGTTACCGGATACGTTAAAAGCTAGTATTCTGTCATACACACCTGTCACCGGACACTATGTGTGGTAGTAAAACAGCGAAGAAAATGGAAATAAGTTAAATTCCAAGCCAAATGTTGTCATTGCATAGTTTTGAATTGACATGTTTTGCAGTATATATACAGGACGAACCTATCCTTACTCTCCGCAGATTAAGAGATATTCAGGATGTTTAACCAGACAGCCCGGGGGGGGGGGGGGTGCAGAGTTTTGACACTGGGTAATGTATATTGCAGACTGTGCTTGACATTTCTAGGATCAGAAGTTAAATACATGTATTTGCTGATTTTCAATAGTTAATATCTGAATATCAGAGGGAGTTTACCTAATAGCCAAAACAGCGGGACCGGCGTGGCGGGGAGGTTGGGGATGTGGTTATGTCCCTTATCTCTATCTCTGGACCGCGCTTGATTATTTACGGGTAACTGAACTCTGCATTTATTAAGATTACAATCTATTTTTTTCTCGAGTGAGACCAGGGTCTTTTAAATAGTTTATTTGAAAAATCCTTCTGTGACTTAAAATGTGTTGGGGCACCACACTAAAAACCGTTATGCGGTATATACGGGACAAGGAAAAAAAAAAGGCTAAAATCTGAGTCTATATTTTTATTTGTTTACTATTAATAAATATGCAGATGTCTAGGAAAGGTAACGTACACATAATCTTTTAATGGACCTTTCTAGTGTTTCTACAGTTTTATGTAAATTGGCTAACTTGTATCTAATTGCTACACTGAACTAATACGTAGTCACTGGTTGACCTTGTTTGCACAAAAGAACACGTGATTATGATTGTCATACTGTTTTTGAGCAATGAAAGGAAAAGGTGTAGCTAAGCAAAACAGAAAAGGTCCATCCTTTAAGATCATTTGTCGATTTGATTAACAATGTAGTTTGTTATCGTTTTACAGACAAGGAGGAAGTCAAGGTTGAATGCGTTAGTAACGTTGTTGCCTACTCGACCATGTTGGCCCTATCGATGCTTCTGCTCGTTGCTATGGGAGTCACGCTCATGTTGTTTGTCAAGGTAAACTGTTATGTTAAGTTATCAGTGTCCAAGCAAGGTTAACTAAGTTGATAGTTATCCGTGGCTAGTCAATGTCAACTAAGTTTATAATTATCCGTGGTCAGTCAAGGTCAACTTAGTTGGTAGTTATCCGTGGCCAGTCAAGGTTAAGTTAGTTGGTAGTTATCCGTGGCCAGTCAAGGTTAAGTTAGTTGAAAGTTATCCTTGGTCAGTCAAGGTTAACTTAGTTGATAATTATCCGTGGCCAGTGAAGGTTAACTTAGTTGATAGTTACCAGTGGCCAGTCAAGCTTAACCTAGTTGTTTAATTATCAGAGGCCAGTCATTGTTAACTTAGTCTTTTAGTTACCAATGGCCAGTCAAGGTTCACTTTGTAGATAGTTATTCGTGGCCAGTCAAGGTTAACTAAGTTGTTGTTAATGCTTGGCCAGTCAAGGTTAACTAAGTTGATAGGTATCCGTGGCCGGTGCAGTTAACTTAGTTGATAGATATCCGTGGCCAGTCAAGGTTAACTAAGTTGATAGTTATCCGTGGCCAGTTAAGGTTAACTAAGTTGATAGGTATCCGTGGCCAGTTAAGGTTAACTAAGTTGATAGTTATTCGTGGCCAGTCAAGGTTAACTAAGTTGTTGTTTAATGCGTGGCCAGTCAAGGTTAACTAAAGTTGATAGTTATTCGTGCCAGTCAAGGTTAACTAAGTTGATAGTTATTCGTGGCCAGTCAAGCTTAATTAAGTTGATAGTTATTCGTGGCCAGTCAAGGTTAACTAAGTTGATAGGTATCCGTGGCCAGTCAAGGTTAACTAAGTTGATAGTTATTCGTGGCCAGTCAAGGTTAACTAAGTTGATAGTTATTCGTGGCCAGTCAAGGTTAACTAAGTTGATAGTTATTCGTGGCCAGTCAAGGTTAACTAAGTTGATAATTATCCGTGGCCAAGTGAAGGTTAACTTAGTTGATAGTTACCAGTGGCCAGTCAAGCTTAACCTAGTTGTTTAATTATCAGAGGCCAGTCATTGTTAACTTAGTCTTTTAGTTACCAATGGCCAGTCAAGGTTCACTTTGTAGATAGTTATTCGTGGCCAGTCAAGGTTAACTAAGTTGTTGTTAATGCTTGGCCAGTCAAGGTTAACTAAGTTGATAGTTATCCGTGGCCAGTCAAGGTTAACTAAGTTGATAGTTATTCGTGGCCAGTCAAGGTTAACTAAGTTGTTGTTAATGCGTGGCCAGTCAAGGTTAACTAAGTTGATAGGTATCCGTGGCCGGTGCAGTTAACTTAGTTGATAGATATCCGTGGCCAGTCAAGGTTAACTAAGTTGTTGTTAATGCTTGGCCAGTCAAGGTTAACTAAGTTGATAGGTATCCGTGGCCGGTGCAGTTTACTTAGTTGATAGATATCCGTGGCCAGTCAAGGTTAACTAAGTTGATAGTTATCCGTGGCCAGTTAAGGTTAACTAAGTTGATAGTTATTCGTGGCCAGTCAAGGTTAACTAAGTTATTGTTAATGCGTGGCCAGTCAAGGTTAACTAAGTTGATAGTTATTCGTGGCCAGTCAAGGTTAACTAAGTTGATAGTTATTCGTGGCCAGTCAAGGTTAACTTAGTTGATAGGTATCCGTGGCCGGTGCAGTTAACTTAGTTGATAGATATCCGTGGCCAGTCAAGGTTAACTTAAGTTGATAAGTTATCCGTGGCCAGTTAAGGTTAACTAAGTTGATAGTTATTCGTGGCCAGTCAAGGTTAACTAAGTTGATAGTTATTCGTGGCCAGTCAAGCTTAACTAAGTTGATAGTTATTCGTGGCCAGTCAAGGTTAACTAAGTTGATAGTTATTCGTGGCCAGTCAAGGTTAACTTAGTTGATAGGTATCCGTGGCCGGTGCAGTTAACTTAGTTGACAGATATCCGTGGCCAGTCAAGGTTAACTAAGTTGATAGTTATCCGTGGCCAGTTAAGGTTAACTAAGTTGATAGTTATTCGTGGCCAGTCAAGGTTAACTAAGTTGATAGGTATCCGTGGCCGGTGCAGTTAACTTAGTTGATAGGTATCCGTGGCCAGTCAATGTAAACTTAGTTGATAGTTATCCGTGGCCAGTTAAGGTAAACTTAGTTGATAGTTATCCGTGGCCAGTCAAGGTTAACTAAATTTATAGGTATTCGTGGCCAGTCAAGCTTAACTAAGTTGATAGTTATTCGTGGCCAGTCAAGGTTAACTAAGTTGATAGTTATTCGTGGCCAGTCAAGCTTAACTAAGTTGATAGTTATCGTGGCCAGTCAAGGTTAACTAAGTTGATAGTTATTCGTGGCCAGTCAAGGTTAACTTAGTTGATAGGTATCCGTGGCCGGTGCAGTTAACTTAGTTGATAGGTATCCGTGGCCAGTCAATGTAAACTTAGTTGATAGGTATCCGTGGCCAGTTAAGGTTAACTAAGTTGATAGTTATTCGTGGCCAGTAAGGTTAACTAAGTTGATAGGTATCCGTGGCCGGTGCAGTTAACTTAGTTGATAGGTATCCGTGGCCAGTCAATGTAAACTTAGTTGATAGTTATCCGTGGCCAGTTAAGGTAAACTTAGTTGATAGTTATCCGTGGCCAGTCAAGGTTAACTAAATTTATAGGTATCCGTGGCCAGTCAAGGTTAACTTAGTCGTTTATTTACCAATGACCAGTCAATCAAGGCTAGCGTAGTTGGTAGTTATCAGTGGCCATTTCAAGTTAACTTAGTTGTTAAACTATTCAGTTACAGGTCTAAGTAAAATATTTTTTTTAGTAATAATTGACCACAACATTTTAGATTAAATTTGTCATAAACAATACTTAAAGTAATCGTTAATAGTTAACTTTATTTTACAACGTATGATATAAACTATGGTCAGTATGTTCTAGAAAAAAGATGTTTATTTCTGTTCAACAAGCCATATCAATATACAATAATAAACAATGAAACGACAAATGAAACCAACTGGTCAACCACCCTAGCAGACAACGAATAAATGAACGTACCAGCAGGAAAATTACCTACAATAAATGTCATAAACTGAACATACATCGGCTACTGTAACCTTCTTTTTTAAGAAACGAAATTTGTGTGTGTGTGTTTGAGTTTTTTTATTTTCGCCACCGGTTGCCCATATGAGCGAGTCCTCCAGAAGAATGTTAGTCATTTTTTATATTTTTGGAGATAATGTAAGATGATACCTCAATTCCAGAAGCTTCTCCTGTGCCATGTTTTTAAGCACTCATACACGGGACGTAGATTTACAGTCTCATCCGGAAGATAAGTTGGCCAGTCTGGGAATCGAACCCACAATGTCGAAATTACAAGTCTTGCGCTCTGACCTGTTGAGCTATGATAGCTTGCATATTAAAACCCCAATAAATTCCACAACAAACGAATAATTGCATATTGTTCTCGTTTCTTTCAGCTGTCAAGCAGGCAAAGAAAAAGAGTGTAAACTGCTTCCCTAGTGACAGTGTGTACAGACAGAGAAACTTAAAGGCACACTATGCCTCATAAAATGCATAATTTTTAATTCTTTAGAAATGGCAACCATGTGTATAATAATATTTGATAATGACTTTAGGGCATGTGTCGTGTTTTTTTACAATAAGATTGCGTAAAAGCGAAAGAAGCATTAGATAGTTACACAATATGCCAAATGTGTATTTTCTTATATACTGTAACATAATACCCAAAAGAAAAGTTTTTGAGAAGTAAAACACTAGCATTTTTGAAGCATAATGGGCCTTTAAGACAATATATTGAAACACTATTTACTTTAAAATGAATATTTTTAATTTAGTTATGTAGAAACAATCCCCCTCCACCCCCACCTAAAAGAGAAGAAAAAAAAAACACGTTATTTTTCAGACTCCGATATAATGTTCATGACTTGCAGACGAAAACGTGCACAAAAATCATTTGAGGAAATATCTTTAACCCTAACCCAAACATAAAGTTCAGTATTTGTGCAAAAGAAAAAAAAAGAATTAACATCGAAAAGACTTTTCACTAGATATTTTATAGCACTTGGTCTGTGGCTAATAGAAATAATTTTAACAATCTACAATGCTTTTTAAAAATGTTATAAAACCTTGGATATATTATGTATTTCTGCGACAAATGCTTATGACCTTATTTTAAATTTTCAAATTAGATTTTTCTAATAGTTTACCTGGGATTAACCTTACATGTATAAGTCGTTTCCCAAGCTATAACCAAGTTAAAAAACAAACTGTCTTTATAACCCCGATTATTCTTCATTGTTTTTGAATATTTTCCATAAAATTATTAAAATCATATGTATGCATATCAGTCAATTATTACATTAAATTGTGACACTGACATTGTCTTTGTCTTCCTTCTTTGTTTTTTTTTTTTGGTTGGGCTTTCGTCTTTCTTTAATTAGAACATGTGTGCGTTCCAGCTTGAGTGGGGAAAAAAGTCATCCGGGTCACCCCACGTGCATTATTTCAGGCAGGAGCGAGCACCTGCGTAGAACCAACGGTCTCCCGTAAGCAAGCTAGGTATATCCAAATTACTTGTGGTAATTGAGCAGCAGGACACCAAACTATATACCGGCAAGTTTCCTAATCACTGCTTCTAGATTCCCTACCAGATGAAAGAAGACACATCTAGCATAGACTGTTCAAGACATAGTAAACATGGACCATTAAAGATACACTTAGCATAGCCAATTCAAGACACATTTAGCACAAACAATTCAAGACATATTTAGCATAGACTAGTCAAGGCACATTAAGCAGGACAAACTGTTCAAAACATTTAGCATATACCATACAAGAAATATTTAGTATAGACTAGTCGAGACAAATTCAGCATAGACAAGTCAAGACACATTAAGAATAGAGTAGTCAAGACACATTAAGCAGGAAAAACTGTTCAAAACATTTAGCATATACCATACAGACACATTTAGCATAGACTAGTCAATACAAATTCAGCATATACAAGTCAAGACACATTAAGCATAGAGTAGTCAAGGCACATTTTGCATATAGTAGTCAAGACATTAATCACAGAGACTAGTCAATACAAATTCAGCATAGATAAGTCAAAATACATTTAGCCTATACTAGTCAAGATACATTTAGCATAGAGTAGTCAAGACATTTTAGCATATATCATATAACTTTAAGAAGCATTTAGCATGGACCAAACAAATAATATTTAGCATAGACCATATAAGACACATTTAGCATAGACCATACAAGAAATATTCAGCATAGACCAAATAAGTGACATTTGGCATAGACCATACAAGAAACACTTAGCAAAGACCATACAAGATACATTTAGCATAGACTAGTCAAGACATATTAAGCATGGACTTGTCAAGATATATTATGCATAGACTTGTCAGGACATGTTTAGCATAGACGTGTTAAGACATATTTAGCATAGACTTGTTAAGACATATTTATCATAGACGTGTCAAGACATATTTATCATAGACGTGTCAAGACATATTTAGCATAGACTTGTCAAGACATATTTAGCATAGACTTGTCAAGACATATTTAGCATAGACTTGTCAAGACATATTTAGCATAGACTTGTCAAGACATATTTAGCATAGACGTGTCAAGACATATTTAGCATATACTTGTCAAGACATATTTATCATGAATTATTCAAGGCATATTTAGCATAGATTATAGAAGACGCGGTTAGCATAAAATATTCATGACACCTTTACCATAGACTTATGATGACACAATTAGCATTAGATATAAAAACAGTCAGATCAGATTGTATAAAATGACAGATGTGGTTTATTGTGAAATTCGTTATTAGTGACTTACGCCTCAATAGTTTTCTCGATTTCAATGAATTTGTTGACAAGTGACGATGAAAATATCTCAGAACCGGCTTTAGAAGTATTTGTTTGTAACTTCAATACATAGAGGAGTCATAGCGATGATGTAAAGGACACATGAGGAGGCCCCTAACTTCATAACCGAACAATAACACGAGTTGTCGACATCCGAAAACTATTACAGTTATGCCGTTCACCCAAAAAACAATTCATTTAATATAAGTTAGATTTGTTATAAAAATTCGGTTAAACAAAGAAATTTTCCTCGTTTAAAGTGGATTGGTCTACAATGGGAAATTTTTCCGAATGTATTTTATATATTAGTTAAAACGATGAAAATATATCATTTAAATATTCTTATGAAATACTTCTGGAATATGAAAATGTTTGGATAATTTTAAAGTGATTTAGTGTGAACACCTATATGATGACTACTAGAATATTTTCACTTTAAACTAATGCTTTTTTTACTTATACGGAATTAAGATAAAATACCAACTGAATCTTTTTTTATTCAATTGAAATCTTATTTCTTTTTTTTTGCTTAGCTTCAAAAAAATTTGTTCTTTTATTTGATAACGAAATGGAAAATTTTGTTTAATAATATGAACTAACATTTCGTTGAAAGGGACAACTGTTTTGTTAAAACGAAATCTTGTGGTAATATTTCGTTGAAAAAACATCAATGTTAAATGAAATAAAATGATTAAGTAACACGTTATGATAATTATTTGAAATAAACCATGTTTCAAAAAAAAAAAAAAAAAAAAAAAGAAACGCTCACAGAATATCAATATTAAAGTACTAAAGTATGTACAATGTTACTTTATGTTACTTAACGGGATTTATAAACATATACGTAATATCTAACATTGATGAAATGCAGTAATTTAGAATGCTTATTTATTTTAGTTTAAACTCCATGGAAAACCAAGATATCTGCATATAATTTTTAGTGTCCAGTTTATCGATGCACAAGATAGCCGGAGAAAGAGTTCATATGGGCTCCGTCTTGATATATTTGCGACCCCGGTATAACATAAGTACACTCAACCCAGACTTTTGAGTTTGCGTGTAGGACAGCCACGGTATCCGCAGTGTTACATGGGAATGAGGTCTCGGCATAGGTTTTGCCAGTAGCATATGTTGTCCCATCCACTTTAATATCGTAGTTAAAGACATGTTTCTGAATTGAACAAAACTGAGTTGTAAAGAAATAGGTTCCGCTGACAGGGGCTGTGAAGATGCCAGTACTGGTACTGTAGGCGTTGCCCTGGTTAAATATGACACTTTCGAGTACCATTGTTTGCTTAGGAGTAGGCGTAGTATCCCTCACACTATGTGCTTTAAACGCAATATTTGGAGCTGAAAACAATACAATAATAAAGTCTTGAAATGTGTTTAAACCTTCTAGGAAAAAATATTCGGAAAAAATAAGTTTGTAATGGCAAAAGTCATTTTTATTATAACCAGTACACACCATTTACAATTGGATGGTCATAACGTCATTTTAAAACATAACAACAGTTTCGGTCACGCGATCCTATGTTAATAATGATAATAATAATAAAATGTTAATGTTTACATGTCTAATGTTCTTTCAAACTAAAAATACTAAAGTTATATCTCAAGTGATACTTACTGCATGAAACATAGCTACATGTTTTAACTTGTGTTGGGTCTCCCTCGCAGTAGTTCCCGCCATGGAGCGGTGGTCTGGGGTTCGTACAAGAGCGAGATCTCGTTCGAAGACCGTCATCGCACGTGGCAGAACACGTGCTCCAATGTCCCCAAGAAGACCACCCGCCGTCTGTAAACAATCATCCGTTTAGATACATATTTATATATAAAGATAAGGAGAGAATGATTTATAAAATACTTCATTTAAGTTTATTTCACAACTTGTATTGATTGAAGAGATAATACCATATCTCTTACGCGAGGGGGTGATAGTATCCTATCTTCCGTGGGAAGGGATAATACATATTTTCCGGGGGAGGGGATAATACCATATCTAATGGGGGAGGGCATAATACCATACCTCCTGAGGGAAAGGATGATACTATACTCCCGGGGGAGGGGATAATACCATATCTCCCGCGGGAGGGCATAATACCATACCTCCTGAGGGAAAGGATGATACTATACTCCTCGGGGAAGGGTATAATACCATATCTCCCGGGGAGGGCATTATACCATATCTCCTGAGGGAAAGGATGATACTATACTCCCGGGGGAGGGGATAATACCATACCTCCCGGGGGAGGGGATAATACCATACCTCCTGAGGGAAAAGATGATACTATACTCCCGGGGAGGGGATAATACCATATCTCCCGGGGGAGGGCATAATACCATACCTCCTGAGGGAAAGGATAATACTATATCTCCCGGGGGCATAAAACAGTATCTTCCGGGGGAGAGGATGATACTATACTCCCGGGGGAGGGGATAATACCATATCTCATGGGGGAGGGCATAATACCATACCTCCTGAGGGAGAGGATTATACTATACTCCCGGGGGGGAGAGCATAATACCATATCTCCTGAGGTAGGGGATAAAACAATACCTCCTGAGGGAAAGGATGATACTATACTCCCGGGGGAGGGGGTAATACCATATCTCCCTGGGGAGGGCATGATACCATACCTCCTGAGAGAGAGGATGATACTATACTCCCGGGGGAGGGCATAATACCATATCTCCTGAGGTAGGGGGTAAAACAGTTCTTCCTGAGGGAGAGGATAATGCCAAACCTCCGGGGGGAGGATATTGCGGAATTTTATCATAACAATATAGAACCAAGGCTGTAGAAATCATTACATTGAAAAAGCAAGTATTTTCCCAGCCACCCATAGCTAATTACCAATGTTTATCCGCACAAGATAAGATAAAATTTAGAAAATACTTACTGCACGACATGTTGTTACACATTTGAACTTGTGATGCGTCTCCCTCGCAGTACTGCGCTAACAGCGAAGGTTTCGGATTTGTACACGAACGTGATCTTTTTTGTAAACCGTCACCACAAGTAGCCGAGCACGTGCTCCAAATACCCCAAGATGACCAACCGCCATCTGTAAACAAAATATCTGAATTTGTCCTTTTTGAATATCATCTATAGCTAGAACCTTTTACAATTAGATATTTTAAATGTCATCGTATGCATGAAGACCAAACTTAGTTAACTGTAAGGAATCTTAGCATAACGAGAAAACTTCTGGGTATCACTAACACAACCATCATCGTCCGAAACCAACGGTTAATTTACATGTTAACCTGATAAATGCCGTTGGTATCCGACGATGAAAGTTTTGATATTTCGCAAGCCAAATTATGTTTAGACTTGGACAATATAACGTAACAGGCAATCAGACTGAAATTCAAATCTACTAAATATTCCTAACTTAAATGAGGAGCTGTTTTTTATGGAAGCTTGAATTGACCCCCCGAGATGCCGTAGTCCGTGATAATTTGTATGTGGTCATGTTCACCTCGTCATGTTGCAATATACTACTGCGACATGGCATGTTTTACCATGGTTTGGATGGGAAAAATATATAATCTTGACAACATTTGTATCAGAGCATGTCGACTTTACTTTTGTCTATTATAAAAGAAGACGGGAACCTAATCATTATTTGGAGACTTAATCCCGCCCATCAAGTAATGATTGACGTATAACTACGCTCGTATATCGTTGATTTCATTATCGTTATTAAGAAAACAATTTTGGCTTTAAAGTATATCAGTCTGATGTTTATTTTCGGTCTTTAATACCGGTACATGTATGTCAATTGAGTTAAGCACAATACGTGCAGAGCTTTTCGTTGAATAACCTTTCTGGAAATAAAAGTGAAATTACTTAAGTGCTCTTTAAATAACCTTTCGGCTAAAATTTTCAATGGACATTTTTGAAGGTTATACAAAACATATACTTTTATGCATATACTCGCGTTTGAAGCACATTATGTAGTCTTTAATCTATTTGGCTGGCAGTAAAACCAGAAACATTACTTCAGTTAGTGTTTGATATATAAATTGTATTAATATAACAATGAACAGCCAAATCTGCCGTTTTGGTAATTTTTATTCTATAAATTATATTGATAACTTACAAATAACAGTTTATCTGTTGGATATATCAACAATCGTTTATATGTTAGAAATTGCACAAAATATAGTGCATTATGTATTCAATTGTATGCTGGATATATTGCTAGTAACTATACTTCAACAGTAAAATGCAGAGGAACACAATAACAAGGACGTCTGAACACCTTTAAATATTTTGATGCAAACCTTTCTGTCTATTTGTATGCCACAAATTAACTATTGACTAAGTGATTGGCAGTATCATTTATATTGTCATATAATTATGTAAATGAAGTATATGGAACAGAATTATTGCATATATTCTATCTTGCTTGATTACATTGAAACTTGCTTTATGCTTGAGTCCATGATGCTTGATGACATTGGAAATTGCATTATGCTTGATTCCATCTTGCTTTATGATATTTGAACTTTGCATAAGACTGCATTCCTTTTTTTTATTATTTCATTCAAACTTTTGTACTGACTAATTCTTTCATTGAGTGATAACTATTAATCTTGCACAAGCCATTTATCGTACTGTTTTTGAACATTAAAATGTTAACGTCATATACCTTTATGTATAAGCTACATTTCTTCATGCTCTGTACAAACTAGTTACGTTTAAGTTCTTTTTTGTATTACTTTTATGTAGAAGTCATTTAAAATCGACTATTTTTATTCCTTAACTCCTTTTGTACATGTGTGACTTATATGATTTATCTATCGTATGGCGTGATTACTATAATTAGCTTTCGCTTATTTCTATTATTCAGTGTTTATGCTGTCTGATGCTTTGTGGATTATGCTTGATCATCGTACAATATAATTATATAAACAATTTGAACAATGTCTAGCGATTTTGAACTGTTAAGGGGGGAGAACTCTCTAATAAATACGTACCAAGCACTAAATATATAAATTGGCCAGGAAAGAATATACATATAGGTAGAAAAATGTTATGCAATATAATTTTATATATGTATACAGTCTAATAGAAAAAAATATATTCGTGAACAGTTATTTAATGGGGCAGTTTTACAGTGGCGGATTCAGGCCCTGGCTGGAGGGCTGCAACCTCCGGCTCAGCCCAAAGATAAGATCATGAGCTGGGATGGAATATAAACGTGTCAGTTTCTTGCAATAGTGGTGTACTCCCTTATCAAAACATATAATGCTGTCATCCGGTTGTTAAGCACCTGACTTGGTGCTGCAAATATCTTTATCTAATGACTTGAACATTAAAAAAAGGCAAATTTTTTTGGCTATTAACTTCACAAATGTCTCAGGGTCACTAATTGACCACTATTGCATGAAACTGACAGTTATATTCAATCCCAGCTCATTAGCGTATCTTTGGACTGAGCTTGCGGGTGGGTGCAGCACTTAAACCAGGGCCTGAATCCGCCACTGTATAACTGCCCCATTAAAAAACTGTTCATGAATATATATTTTTTTCTTTTACACTGTATACATATATAAAATTATATTGGAGAACCTTTACTACTTGTATTGGGCAATTTATATATATTTACTGCTTGGTACTTATTTATACGCAAAAGAATACCATTGTATGGTCACCGCAGTTTATGTACGGGAAATTCCGATGATATAGGCGAAATGTGGAAAAATCCCGTTGATCTTGATACCTTAACAGTTCACAATCGCTAGAAATTGTTTAAATTGTTTATATATATTGTAAGATGATTAAACATAATCCGCAAAGAATCAGACACCGAGCTTTATTTAGCATAAACACTAAATAATGGTAATAAGCGAAAGCTAATAGTAATCAGGCCCTGCGAGCTATGAATCATATAAGTCACACTTAAACAAAATCCGTCGTGTAATTTTAGGTGTACAAAAGGAAGTAGGGAATGAAAATAGTGGATATTAAATGTCTTCTACATAAAAGTAATACAAAAAAGAACTAAACCGTAAATAGTTTGTATAGATCAAGACGGAAGGTAGCTTATACATAAAGGTATATGACCTTAACATTTTAATGTTCCATGCCAGTACGATATATGGCTGGTGCAAGTTTAATAGTTATCACTCAATGAAAGAGTAAGTCACTAGAAAAGTTGAATGAAATATTAAGAAATGGAATGCACCTTAATGCAAAGTTTGAATATCATAAAGCAAGATGGACTCAAGCATAATGCAATTTACAAAGTCATCAAGCAAGAAAGAATAAATGCATTAATTCTGTCCCATATTTGAGATTGTCGGGTGTCACTTCGTAATAGTGTTATGTCACTTCGCGTTGCCGTGTGTCGATTATGCAAACGCGACGGCAACATTAGAAATGGCCTCAACAGGATTCCGTAGAAATATAGGCCAGCTGGCGTAAGTCTTTTACTGTCCCAGATATAGAATAGTTCAAAGAAAAGACATTGCCGGCCACCCATCATAAAAAATAAAAACCCAAAAATAAAAAAAAGTTGCAGCTCGATGTAAGTAATAGTTATAGTTCAGATTTTTAAAAAAAAATGGAATTTATTGCAAGCGTAGCGTAGCGGAGCGCAGCAATAAGTTCTATATTTTCTTAAAATATGAGCTATAACTGGCTTACCGTTTGACCCACTTTCGTGGAATTAGTCACGTACGAATTGTAGATACAGTGTTTGATGTAATACGGGTACCGCCCTAACTAGTATAGATTGACAGGCCAACACATGGTCGAAGTGTTTTGACCTGTCAATCAATTACATGTATGTATTGTTTACGTCATTAGTCATCATGTAACAATGTGTTTGACATAATGAATATAGCAAGAATCATATTTTTGAACCATTTCCTGTCGAATGTGCTGATGTGGTCACGGTTGCTTGATACGCAGGATTAATATGCAAACACAAGCAACAACAGACAATAGCTCAGGTAAATATTTTATAAAAGAATATTCGCGAATTCTCGCAATATCTAACTGCATCATTATCTATTGTAACATGACCAGGCGCGCAGCTTTTCTACACCCACCCAGCACCGAGCCTCAAGTAGATGAAGGTAAATTATTCAAACATAAAAATGCCTAAAATGCCGTTGCAATTATTAAAAAAAGTTTGAAAATCATATTTGAGTGATTTCTTTGATATTTGCATTTTGCAGGCCGATTCGAAAAGCTTTTGTCATCTGATGACATAAAGAAGAAACAGAAATACAGTGCCCTATAATACAACGACAAACAACAACTGGGCAGTGCACGTCTGAAGGGAGTTGGCCGAAAACCGCAACCTACAAGATTAAACAAGAGCCTGGTTATCCTATTCCCGTTCAAATAGAGCAGTTCCGTTCATGTGCAGAAATGGATTTTTGGTCGCAACGATTCATCTGTGAAATTGAAAGGAAAAATGGAGAATTCTGTCCTCCAACAACTTTACTAAACATTGCCGCAAGGCTACAACGGCATCTTTGAAATGAAAAATCCATGCACGTGAACTTTGTTAAATCTTTCTTCTCTTTGTAGAATATTGGATCCACGCATGCGCGAGTTGACTAACGAGGGTATAGGGGTCGAAGTCAACTGTTAAACAAGTGGAGATTTTAACAAAATGACGGTATAGGGAATGTACGTATTTCAATAATTTTTATATATGTAAAAGCTTGGATTTATAAATAACCATATTAATTCGCTTTCTTATTTGTTTACTTTATTCGCATGCCACAATCATTGTCTAATTTAAAACTCCGCCCATATCCATAACGTCATATTTGCTAGATATCACGTCAATACCTGTTAAAATAAGTCTACATAAAATTAATTCCTAATATAATAGATAATGTGACTATATCAAGAGACTTGCGTGGGGCAAAAAGTTAATAGTAAAGATTTTATTAACTTTCATAACCTTCTTTTTTCTTTTACAAAAATAGCATTATTTTCCTAAATCAGATCGTAGTATACATACAATGTTTTAGGAGTAATTAGTAATTAGTATGATTTATCGTTTGTTGATATATTTTACGCGGTTTCATTAAACCAAAAAAAAAAAAAAAAAAAAAAATAAAATAAAATAAAAGCAAAAAAAAAAAAAAAAAGATTTTCTTTTTCAAGAAGTTTTTTTGGCATGCATTCCTCTATAGAATGAACAGCTTCTACATTTTGTTCAATTTAAATAATTGAATAGTAAACAAAATATAGAAAAAAGAAGAAAATAAAAAAACATATTAAACCTTGACCGTCTTTTGATTTTTTTCCTGCCCCACACTCATCATAAAATATCACGTGGTAAAGGCGATCAACTTACGTCCGCATGGTCCCGGTGAACATACTCTGACGTCTATAGCGTCACCAAAACACGGATGTCCGTTTCTTTCAGGTAATGGATTAGAGCAGTTACGTCGACGTTTTTCCAGACCTACCCCACATATAACAGAACAATTGCCCCAATGTGACCACTGTGCCCAGCCACCATTTACTGCAAGATATTCTTTTATGCCAATGAAATAACCAACGTAGACAATGGTAATGTTGTCTATATGATGTTTGTTGACTAATATCAGGATATTACATGATGGCTTCATGTTGCATATCCGGAAGGAAATCTTAAGAAACTTTTCAAACAAACATTAAAGTAAACCGATTTTGCTATTAACGTCTATGTATATTATGATATAGAAAACATAGCATTGATGGAAATGTGTTAATACTTAATCAAATCAAGAGATATCTTGGGAAGCACCAACGTGGAAGAAAATAAATCATTCAACCAAAACGACCTGCAGTTTTTCATAAGTCAAGCAAAATAGAATGACAGGCCTTCATTTGATTCATACAAGATTTATATATATTATGAGACTAGAAATCTTCATAGTATAGCAATGTTCAGAAAAACATATGCCCAAAAATTATCCAGTCACATGCATTGCGTCACCGGAAAGACATTCAGCGGGGTCGCGAAGGAACGAGTTTATAAAGCGGAGCTAAAGACAAATCCCATACCCTACCTGGACAAAGTCCTTGTGAACAAGTCATTTGATCTGTGTTAGGGCCGACACAATCGAGACCGCCGTTAGCTGGAGCCGGGTTATCACACGTTCTTAGACGAGTTTGAACCCCATTACCACAAGATGCGTCACACTTGGACCATCCCGACCAGTCCGACCAGGCTCCATCTACTGCTCATGTAATTCAATATGATTATATAAGTGAACAGATTAATACGGAAAAGTAATATCCATGTAATGCAGTGTGTACTTATCACCTTAATATATAATTAATATTTCAGCAATTAGTACCGTCACGCATGCGCACTCGTATTCAAGGTTTTCATGCGCAAGCCAGTCTTTCCATTCTATGATAATAAATATTGTGGGATAGCGCGTCACTGTAATTTTGGATCTTCATAGATAACAAAAATATTAAGAACTTGTTAATAAGTACATCTACAATAAAGAATGAGCATGTTCATACGCACCCAGTGAACACAGGGAACAGAATTTCGGACAGATAACCTTTGCACGTTGCACGTCGGCACACACATTCATAAAACTATTCATAAACGCACAGTCTACTTTACTATCATCAACGCAATCTGTTGCTATAAAAGAAAATTATATTATTATTTGTTTGGGTCGTCAGACCAAACAAATAATGGTAGCAAAATTTCAGACCTTGATGCTGTTAATTGCAAATGCCGAAAGTAGTCTTTTGAAGCGGTTACTTCCCTTTATATGTACACTAACTCCGAAAAATTCAGGGGAGATCACTGCGTAAAGATTGTCAAATGACAGACGCATTAATTTTGAAGCAAAATAGTTCCCAAATGGTCGAAGATTTCTAATATTGTTTTATTCTTTATAGATATACATGCTTATAGTAAGCTCTATGATTATTTACATCTGTGTTAAACAACAGGTTTAGCGTCGAAATAATGAATTTAGAATAATATGGTTTTCTTCAGGCCGTGAACATATACCTTCACCGTGGCCGAGGGGTTTGCACGCTCGCCTAGAAAGCGAGAGGTCTGGAGTTAAAATTCCAGTTAAAGCAATTCATTTTTTTTTAATTGTTTAAGTCAAATAAACATCGAATTTAATATCAGAGTTGCAATTAGTCTTATAGCCAATTTACTACAGTTACAACACTGGAAAACATTGGTGGCACTATACAAAAACAAATTGGTTTATAATCTAACAACCTTCACCTTTCTGACATTCTGAGACACAAACAAATTCAACGCTTTCTGTGCTTTGATATGTAATTGTATCTGTTACAAATCATGAAATCCGAGGACATACTTAAAACAGAAAAAGTTAAGACCACTTAAGGCAATAGGACAAAATTTCTTCGCTTAAAGAGTCGTAAACGAATGGAACCTACTTCCCAGTGAAATAGTTTTATCAAAGAATGTAAACGAGTTCAAATCAAAATAGATAAACACTGGCAGTGGAAAAGATTCAAACTTGACAATATGTAATGAATAGACCAATACCGGAGCGAAAGACAATGAAAACAGAACTCGAGGGGAATGATAGTCCGTTAGGGGACTAGTAAAGTTTCCCATACATCACAAGGCATCACAAGGTATAAGTATTAAGGGAACATAAAGCCTAACAACTGTATTTTCTTTCTTTTTTGAAGGGGCAAATATATTTGATTATATATAAAAATACAGTAAACTCGCATATTTCGATATTCGGGGGACCGCAGAATATGTATCGTTATATCCGGATATCGTTCTTTCCGGATATCGATATATCCGAGAGGCAACCAATTTAAAAACAAGAGTTGGAGTCGCGGCTACAGCTGCGTTGTAAGCGACATATCGTTATACCTCATAAGCATATTGTGAAAATGGCCATTTTCATTGAAAAGCCTCCAGTTACAATTTTAAACTGCTTTGAAACAATGAAAAATGCTTCAATACTGATGAAACTTGGCACAAATGTTGACTGGCCAATAACCTCTGTAACGGCATACTCAGTCTTAAATCTTCTCTTACCATGGCAACGGGGGACGTCTCAAAATTGCCAAAATCGCTATTTTGCATTGTTTTTTCCCCGTTAAAACTGATTTCAAAGTGCTGCAACTTCTCAATGGTTTGAGGTAGAGTAAAAGGCTTTTCAGCGGTGATTACACGTTACCTAACGATTGAAACTGAGGCAAATTTTAGCCTGTCACATGTCAAAAATTTTCTTTGCGATGAGTTGGAATGCCGTCCCCTTCAACCCCCCCCCCCCCCCCCCAAAAAAAAAAAAAACAGAATGGGGCACATCCCACTCTGGCAACCCCTTGATGTACTTTTTTGATGGAGGGAGGCGCCGAAAAAGTGATCACTTTTTAACAACATTTTTCAATGAGGTAAAGGGTTAACAGAAAAAGATGAAAAACCTTGGAATTACCCAAAATCTAGTTTTTCCATGTTTACACGCGGCCTTTCACCTAAATTTGGTGAAAATTTGTTGTTTTGTAGCATTTTTAATTTTTTTTAATTAACCCTTTACCTAATGAGCATATTGTTAAAATTTGCCGTTTTCTTTGAAAGCCTCCTGTTACAAGTTCAAACTGCTATGAAACAATGAAAAATGGTTTAATACTGACGAAACTTGGCACAAATGTTGACTAGACAATAGCCTCCTTAACAGCATGCTCAATCTTAAATTTCATGTTACCATGGCAACGGGGGACGTCAATTGCCAAAGATCACTTTTTTGCATTGTTTTTTCCCCACCAAAACTGATTTCAAAGTGTGCTTCTTCTCAATGGATTGAGATAGAGTAAAAGGCATTTTTAACGTTGGTTACACGTTACCTTACAATTGGCCTGGGGCATTTTTTAGCCTGTCACATGTCCAAAATTTTCTTGGCGGTGAGGGGGGCTGCCGCCCCCTTCAATCCCCCCAAACAGAAAGGCGCACATCTGGGGTGGCGCCGAAAAAGTGATCATTTTTTTAACATTTTTCAAACGAAAAACAGTGTATATGAGGTAAAGGGTTAACTATATTATCGTTGAAGACTTAAAATCAGATTATGTCACTCTTAAAAGTGTATACATGTTTAAAAACTTGTGTATTTTAACGTATATTGACGTTTGTTATACTGCCATTTGCAACGTCGCTTTTTCATTGGATGACCGTGAAGTTAATTCAAATTTTGAAATATATTGCACGTTTGTAACGTGGCTTTATATTGGATAATCGTGACGTTTATATAGTTTATATACACGGCTGCTGTTTATTTATGAAGACATCACTTTTTTTTCTCTGAAATTAAAAAAAGATGGCTGCTGTATGATAATTTCGTTGTAAACATTTTGACAGGTTATATGGCCGTATATAAACGGTTGTTTGCAATATAACCCTCGCCTAGCAGCCCGGGTAATATTTCCAAACAACAGTTTAAATAGGGCCATAATTATAACCTTTCAAAAAGCTTTATAACTAATAATATTAAGGGTTATCGTGTAAACGTTCGTTACTGATCTTTAACTGAACCCTTTGGCTATTTCGGTCGCGTTTCTTTTCTTACATGATTTTTGTTTTGTATTATTAAATAAACCAGATAATTAACTTAATGTGAATGAATTCTTGTACGTAACTATGATATTCGGCTATACGAAATAATTGGTTACTTATTTTGCCATTTTTCTGTTATCTCAATGGCATTGGTTCAATTCTATTATCACTTCATTCTTAAGGTCATACTTGTAGTAATACTCTACAAGTATATTCAGCTATCTTGTTTTCACTATAAGTGATGTCTTAATGTGGCCTACTTAAGAAGAGCAACGTGACTAGACACACGTTATTTCATACATGTATAATGGATCGTGACTTTTAATGGTGACTTTTAAAGACACATTGAGTTGCAGCTTGGCCGGGCTATTTAAGAGAAGTAGGGGGCAATGTAACTGTAAAGAGAACAAAAGAGAACAAAAAAGTTCATTTAGGAACAATAGAATAAGGGTCATGGCGCTCTGTTTTACAAAAGAAAAATAACAGAAATGGCCCCTTAGTCAATTTAAATGGCACGGGCGAGTGACTAACACGTCGGACAAGTTATCAGATATTTAATTGTCTCGTTGGTACAAATCACGCCAGGAGCCAGCTGTTGTTTCTGTGAGCGAGAAAAGTTACAGTCATAGCTTCCAGGGATGGATTCGAGAAAAATATACTAGAAATGTATGAAAACAAAGCCCATTATGCATAAAATGTCTTTATTTGTTCAATTCCTTTGTCAATCACACTTCTGTTGCTTTTGTGCAAATAGTGCAGTGGCGAATTAATAAATTGTTAAAATTGTGTACATTTTTGGACAAATAATTTCAAATTCAATATTACTTTCTTCTGTGTGTTATATGGTGGTTGATTTGTGCCATTCGTGTTTTCGCACCGCGATCCCGCCAAGCAAAAAGTCGAAAATCAACAAGTTAAAATGGCGAGGAGGGGGGGGGGGGGCGTTTCGGAGCGACAATAAGATAATTAATGAGGGCGCGGGGCGAAGTTTAATAAATAAAACTTTGCCCCCGGGGGCGCGAAGCGGCATTTAAGAAATAAAACGGCGGGGGTCGCAGGACAAAAACACGCTGATTAGCGGGAGTGCGGGGCAAAGTTCAATACATAAAACTTCGTCGCGCGCCCCCGCGAATTAGCGTTTTTTCGCTCCGCGCTCCCGCCATTGTAACTTGTTAATTCCTATGGTGACTGATTTCTGCCATTTCGTGCTTTCGTGTCTTCTCCCCGAAAGTCGAAGACACGAAAACATACCTATTTGTCGTTATTTCGACTTTCGCCTTTCGGTTTCCTATATATATTCTATATCGTCAGCTAATACGTCAGCAGTTAACTATCGCCAATACCGGAAGGCAAAACCAGAAACAATGACATTGTCGTTACTCCGACTTTCGCGTTTCGGGGCGAAATCACGACAACATGAAAGTCTGCCGTATTTTCGTTATTTCGACCTTCGGGTTTCGAGGCGAAGACACGAAGACACGACAAACAAAGGGCGCGGACACAAAAGATTTTGCCCCGCCGACACGAAAACTAAAACAATGAAATTTTCGTCCCTTCGCGTATTAAAGTTTCGTTTTTTCGCCTAGAAAGTTTAGTGTTTTCATGTCTTCGCCCCGAAAGGCGAAAGTCGAAATAACGACAAATATGTATGTTTTCGTGTCTTCGCCTCGACTTTCGAGGCGAAAACACGAAATGGCAGAAATCAGCCACCATAAATTCCCGACTTTTCGCTTGGCGGGGTCGCGGAGCGAAAACCCGAATGGCACAAATCAGTCACCATAATGATAGGCTTATACTGTTGGTATCTGGGAAATCCCTAAAAAACTGTTAAAAATACAAAACAGGGAAAATCCGCACACGAAATCTGTTGATTAAAGGTTATCTTGCTTGTATATATGACAAATTAAAATGCATGAATATTATTATATAACAAATGGAAGGAAACCTAGTTTTAAGTTCAGACAATTATTTTTATTCATGCAACTTTTCAATCCATTTCGTAAAAAACGATACAATTAATACTTAAGGGGAAAAGTAGACATTTAAAACGTAAAACTTACGTTTCTTGTGAGAACAGAGAACTTTATTGCATTTATCCGTACTACAGCACTCATGACAATCTTGGTCTATCTGGCGTTCGTTGACATTTCTACCAATTAAACTCCCGCCTAATCCAGTGCTTACACCACATTTCTTTATACAATATTATGTTTAAAAGATTTAAGTTAATTTACGATAGAATAAACATAATAAACGACACAATTTCTCATAAATGATTAAAATATAAATACAGTCCGGATTAGAAACAAACTTTAAATTTCAAATTCAGAGCATAGATTTTGCTATTTTCTCTTTCACATTGCGGAAAGAGGTCAACGCAAACCACACACGGGCATATCGAACTTGATGATATCAGTAAATAATGATTTTATTATCAACATTTAATCATCTATATAATGGAAAAAAACAAACAAGTAAGTAAAGACCTTTGTCATAAACTTACCGTGTTATCAATACAACCAAGTGTGCTCCTCTGATCTGCCGACCGGAAGTCCATGTAACACGACTGAAAAATGTGTCAATATCGACGTAAAACCAACCAACCAACCAATCAACAAAACAAATAAACGACTGCAAAATTATTACTGTGAACTACAAAAACATTTGTAATGGACTTAGGCTAAATCATACGTCATTTTTTAACGGAAATATTACATGAGCGTTGCTGACTGTCTTTGATAGCAATTTGACCTATTCATGGACGGCAGTCATAAACGAAGGAAGTCAACTATCTACACCCCCCCCTTAGCACCGGACAATAAAACCACTTATCACTCGTTTATTTCTTGTTATATCAGAAATAAAATTCTTTACGAAAACTAACATGTCCTGCGTCACATTGTGAAAGTGCCAGACATTCCGTTGAGTCCGCAAGATTGGTACAATTATAGCACAGAAGTGCGTCTGAAAATAAAATTGATTCATTTCAGAGCCTGTTTTATGCATATCGCTTGAAGGAAGAAGAGCGAAATGTGAAATTATTTTTCATAAAAGTAGCAAAATGTGAATAAAATTAAGAAATAATATATCCCAAACTGTGATTTTATCGCTCAATAACATCACTGTTTGGAGTTCGGATGCGAGGAATTATATCACGAGGGCGTAGCCCGAGTGATATAATGATGCGCATCCGAACGACAAACAGTGATGTTATCCAGCGATAAAATCACCGATTTGGATATATTATTTCGATTCTAACACGACGTTAACAAATAAATGCTGCCGTACCTGCTATTAAACAAAATTGCGCCTGATTTGTTTCCGTACTTATTGTCAGCGCGTCGGATTTTATAGTGGTTACGTCACATGTATAATGATTACGTCACATGTCTAAATATAGAACGTCAAACAGTGACTCTATTGCATATTCTAACACGACCCGCATTTTTCCCTATTGAACATAGAGGAACCGAAAGTGTGTGTTATTATGCTATAAAATCACTGTTTGACGTTCTATATTTAGACATGTGACGTAATCATTATATACGTGACGTAACCACTAAAATTGTGACGCGCTGACAATAAGTACGGAAAAAATCAAGCGCAGTTTAGCTAATTATAATGTACGGCAGCATTTATTTGTTGATGTCGAGTTAGAATCGAAATAATATATCCAAATCGGTGATTTTATTGCTTGATAACATCACTGTTTGTCGTTCGGATGCGCATCATTATATCACTCGGGCTACGCCCTCGTGATATAATTCTCCGCATCCGAACTCCAAACAGTGATGTTATTGAGCAATAAAATCACAGTTTGGGATATATTATTTCTTAAATAACACACACTTTCGGTTCTTCTATGTTCAATAGGGAAAAATGCGGGTCGTGTTAGAATGGTATTTCGACGTCCATACAAAAGATTAAATCACTATAACTTTACTGAAAAAAAAAACACAAGATGGTTCAGCCAATAAGTCATTTCCTTGAGATTATAGACACCAAAATTAATACTTTTGAGAATGAAAAATAATATCTTTTCTGAGGTATTATGGGTCATAAACAAAAGTATAGTTTTAATGAATAATTCTGGTAAATTTTTATAACATGAACAAAAACATGAATTAGAAAACGACAACAAAAATGTAATTAATGATTTTATTTTGTTTGTTTGCTTATTTTTTATCTTAAAGCAATATACTACCTGTTGTCGCAAAGAGCAATATTTGTAGAAAGAACGCTTGGCCTAAAAAAACAAAGACAATTGATGAAGGATTTATGTAAAAAACTGTTTAAGAACATCGTTGCATTTTTCAGCTTCTTTGGAAAATGTGTTATATTTAATTGACATGAGCTGGTAATCAAAAGTTTCCAATTAATTTAGCATGGTTTACTTGTACTATGTAAAGATACAAATACAAAATTCATCCTAAAGTAGACAGCATTTAAGTTAATATGTCGCGCTACTGTGCCACGGCAGATACATGAAGTGTCATAAATACCAACAAACAAACGCTAACTTATACTTAGAAATAATTGCTTAATGGTATAAATCTTTTTTATGTCACTTTGCGGTTCATAATTTAACAAGAAAATTTTATTTAAAAATAAGAGAAACAGTTTCAAACTAATAAAATACTGTACCAAAAATAACAGCCATTGTCACTCCCGTGATATTCACGGTCAATCTAGAGATATAGTTACACTGTTCCAGTGATAAACATATATATACTTTGACATAGTAACATACTTTGTTTTAATCTATGTTCGTGCAATTCATATCACGGTTGTACCATTTTTAGAAACCCTATGAATATCTCTTTAAACAAGGATAACACATATTGAAGCCCTCCTTGTATAATTTTTAAATGCCAGTAAAGTTACATTTACTCGGTATGCTTGATTTAAACATATTTATTTAAGCTCGATCTTGCAACTTTTTTTAATCACTTTCGAGTCCGCTTCCTGGAAGCAACCAGTACTAGTGTCATATGAAAAAACATGGTCGTGACCGGAGTCGGGCTCGAACCCATGATCTCTGGGTTGAGAGGCAGACTCCTTAACCACTAGGCCACCGCTCCCCCTTATGGCAATCTTAATATAGAATAATTACATAAATAAAATATCAAAACAAATATCTTTGTTGAATTATTTTCACCATGCCTTATTTAAGTCACAGGGATTGAATGGGCCGTATTTCAGGCACCCGTTTGCTATTTTCTTAAATTTCTTGTATCTTTGAGTTTTGTGGCGAAGAAAAGAACCCCTCCCCCCACCCAAAAAAAAAAAAAAAACAAAAAAAAAAAAAAAAAAAAAAACAAAAAAAAAAAACAAACAAACAAACAACAAAAAACAAACATATGCCATGACGTAATATAGACTATTGCATGAAAAGGACGTCTTAAATAAATAACATATATTAACAATTATATATGAGAGTATTTGTTTGTTTGTTTGTTTGTTTGTTTGTTTTTATGTCGCACCAACGTGTCATATGGCGCCGAAACAGGAAGGATGAGTTTGGCTTACTTTGTGTGTCACAAACTTCAAAGAAACACCAATGGTCAAAACCACCTCACTTGCTTTAGCTTAGAGATATGTCTATAGACACTAGTTATTCGAACCTATTTGGTCTAGTCGCTTTTTACGATCACGCAGGGATTAACAATGGCCACAATTCTTATGTCTTAACCATTAAAGGCACAAGGGTTTAAAAAAATATTACAGTGTCAAAATAAAATACTCTGTAAATGGCCTTGGTGCAACAATTGTAGTGTATTTTAAAATTTTAATAAAATAGATGATTATCTCCCTTGATTCAATTTGAAGCGTTCCCTACAGTAGCGCTATTTTTTACAATGACAAATCACATGATTTATCCGATAAAGGGCCGAGAAAAAAAAACAAGTACAAAAAAGTTTATTTATTGACCATATTCATTATTTATCAATTAGAATCAAAGCAATTTATCAAAATATTTGCCCAGAAGCATAAAATAGTACATGTTCTCCACTTAAAATGATAAAGATCTTGTATCTTTAACTATTGAACAATGTACACGTCAAGTGAAATAAAAACGTGCCTGAAAGACATCAACAAGATCAGTTTAATGTTCTTTACACTTGTTACATGTATATGTTTGATTTTGAGAACAGATGATATATTTTACTCTCTTTGGTCAAGCTGAATTTACTTGCAAAAAATATCTGGAGAGAGAATATCACGCGAAAACAATGGCAACACATTTTAAATTCTCGGTTTGAATGTTTCTGTTTATGAGATATTATAAAAAGCCTTTTGCATGAACTTACCTGAAAAGTTATGCACGTATTACTTATGCACAAATGTCATGTAATCCATGCACACATTATGATTAAACCGTGCTTCAAAGACGAAAACTATTAGGTAATCACATGAAAATGACTCGTATGAAAAATACACGTGAAAATAACAAAGTAACACAAATTTCCATGCAAGCCGTTTTATAAAAAAATTATGCTAAATATAAATTACGGTATAGCAAGTGTACGAATTACGTGTAAATCTTGCTAGAGTTGCACGAAAGCCCGTGCGTTAATCATGTGAAAACTGAGCACACAACCCATGATTTGATAATGTCAGACAGAGCTTGCCTGTTGTTAAGAGCCGTACAATAATTCTCTATCTTTTTCTATACTAGGCTTGCTTTAAGGACACAAATTATTTAAATTTATTTACGATGCAACTTTAGCTACAGAAACAACTGGTAGCCTATTTAAACTAATTTCAAACATTAATTATTATATTTTTAGAATTCATTTCTTGACTGTGATATTATATATGTAATTTTACGCTTGTCGTAATTTAGATGTTTTTATACATTTATTTACAAGCAATGTAAACATTGCCATTATTGTTTACGGCAAAAGAAATCACAAGTGTACTTTTTAAAATCTTGAACCTCGAAACTACATTAAGAAAAAGCCGGTAAACAATTTTAGCAAAACATATTTAATATAATTATCTGTTATAAAATATTTGTTCTAATGAAAAAAAAATCTCACGCTATACTGCATTCTGAGAAAAATGTTAAAACTTTATATTTGTAGTGTTTATTCGTAATTATATATTTTCGGAATAAATCGCAGACGAAAATATCAGCGGGGTTGGGGGTTAGGGTTTGGTATGAAGTGTATATTTAGAAAATGTGACCGTTTGATTGCATGTTAGGCAACATTTAATATGTTTTAAATGTCAGGTGTGCATTTAACTACGGCATGCAGAGCTAAAGTCATTTTTAGGGATTGAACTGTCTAAAATAATATAATTATGTACGTCAAATAACACAGATTTTCTAGACGACATAGACTTGATATCTTTTTCAATTCAAATTTCATTACGTTGTAACCAATAGTTATTTGCAGAAGATTCACCAAGAGCACGTGCACAATATGTGGGGCTCATAAACAGCAGACGGCATTTGCGGGTTGTTGTACATTTATAGGGGACGTTCAGATAAATAATCACTTGCATTTTGAAAACCGTCTTTTCCCCCGCAAAATTATTGTGTTAATCAGCGGTTATTTTCTACCCCGGGTAAGACCGAGATTTGATTTTCTTTAATTACAAAAAACTCGTCAACTTACTTTGAAAGGAAGAGATACAAACATTTTGTTTCTAACGGCGTACCGATACAGTACGAAGGTCATATGGCGAACTTTCCAGCTTTACTTGGTGAGGGAAGACCCTCAGGCGCCCTTTTCTATTGCAATTATGTCCCGGCCGACCGGGCCCACCCGAATAGAACAAATCGACGTTCCGAAAGGATCTTGGGGAGCTTTCCCACATTTAGAGAATTCAAAGTCCGTGTCAGGATTTTCGAACGCCGCCAACGGGTGTGAAACAAGGGCAGGTCGTTTTGAAGAGCAAACGACCGTAACCACTCAGCCATGGAATAGGAGTTGTCCTAAATTTAAAGTGTATTGGTCTACAAAATGTACATTTTTCATTTAATTATTCACATACAATGTATTTAGCAGCACCAATTTAGAAAAAAAATCAATAAATATCTAGAATATTCTTATAAAATATTCGAGGAAAGAAAGTAAATGTTGCGGTAGAGTTCTTGTTTAATTAAGTATGAAACATGGTTTTATGATGATTAGTAATAACATTTTTGATTTAGAACTCGTTATAATCTTACTATAATTAGTAAATTAGACAGTTTAGAACAGTTTATTTATGTAAACTGTGATATAAACATCGACAAAAATTAAGTTTAAATGCAATTAATAAGGTGAAAAAACGCTTACCCAAACACAAACCGTGTATAATCTGCTTTATACTCAGACTTATAAGCAAAAAAATAGAGAAAATTCAAGAACGGACAATTCCACTTTGTTTAAGTTAATATTGATATGACGTATTGTCCTTAACAGGGGGGAAAAACGAAAATTTTTGCATTTTATCCACTTTAATGCTTCCAAACCATAAATCTTGATCCTCTGGAATTCAAAATCTAGAGAGTAATTGCACGTATTTTCCTTATAAACTATAAATCCAATTCTCCAGGTCGAATATCGCACTTTTTATTTATTTTAAGGCCTATCATTTTTTCTTTAGATGCTTTACTGACGGTTTTGCGTGTGGGTCAAAGGTCGGCGTTTTTTTATTTCCTTTCGTAATACGCTAATTAGTTATTCCACCAGCACGTGAGTATTTTCCTTGCCCGGGGGAAATTTCGAGCTGTCCCGGATGGTAGCCCTGGAAATTTGAAAAGATTTCCATAATTTTTTCTTAAGCAAATGTCATTTCCACGTTAAACAAATGTCTTTTCTATTTTCTGTGACAGCTTTTCGTACATGTTTCAACAATACTGATGATCGTAGATTTTCCCCGTTCCGCGTGAAGCTGAATTGGGATAAAACATCGATATACGTGACCCGTTAACCTTAACGGCTTTTTGCGCGGAGGTCTATATAAGGTCCGAAAAGCTGTCATTGTTTTAATAACTATGACTTTTGGAAGACTGCCACAAGTTCTTCTAAATTTGTTGGCTGACATAATGGATTATAATGGCCCGGAGCCAACACTTCCCCCAGCATCAAAACGATACTTTAAGAAACTGTTCAAGGAAATGTCATAGCGACATAACGTGGGGTCCTCCGTTTTATAGTTTCTTCGTCGTAAAGTTTTAGAATATTATGTCCAAACCCACTTCAAAGTTATTGAAAACAAAACACTTTGTCCACGATAGGCCGAATACAAGCGTGAGTATGGGTTCCTTCCCATGACGAGGAAACGTGTAATCTCTTAAAGTATCAACAGCAACTTGGCTTTTGAATGGCATCGCTTCGCCTTCGTGTAAATGGGCTCCTTGTCTTTTTAAAAAAACGTCGGGTCGATTCAGATTCTGTGAGAATATGGAACGCCTGAATTCATAAATGTCGACCCAACTTTTGGCACAATTTTAGTTGCAATAATTTGTACTTCTCCGAGTGTCAAAAACCATGATTGTAATATTCTTGTTTTGTACTGCATTTTCTAAAATCCATACCTTTCGCACGTGTTTTGAAATGTGTTATTCTGTTTATCTGTGTAGCCCTGGTTTTGTAAACCAGTTTTGTCATTTTTACCCGGCCCTAACGAAGCTCTGGAACTGAAAAAAAAAATCACAAAGGAAAGGTCAGTGTATAATACGAACATTATGCCCTCAGAAACAAATTAGCC